TAAAAAGGGAAGGCACACCATCCTCTATGGGAAGTGAAGAAGCAGAAGAGTAAGTCATCTTTATACATTTAGTCTAAGTATATTTTTCATATCAGTCTCTTTTTAAACTTGTGGATTGAAATTCCACAGATTAACAGATGAAGCAGAGGACGGTCAGTCTGAAGACATTAAAGGAAAGAAGAAGGGTGGTGTATCTTTCTCCTTTATCTCAGTAATTTGATTTATGCATGTGTACATAAATAATATAATTAAGTAATTGTTTTTCGTTTTTCTAACTAGGCAACAGAATCAAAGAACAATTTTCTAAATTTGTTGATAAGGTCAAGTTAAAGAAATCCAAAAAGAACAAACGCAAGAAGGAGCTTTTTCAGAGGGCTTCATCAGCACGTAGACCTGCTGTTATTGAAGATGATGGTGCAAGCAGCACAGAGGGCTCCATCAAAAGCGGCCTGGACTATTACTATGTATGGAATGTATATACCAGCAAATGTTAATATTGAATTGATTTACAAAATTTTTGTTGTGATTGACAACGTCTGTGCTTTCTTTTTAAAGGACAGTGAAACGGATGTCTACCTAACAACTGTCCAAGAGGATTTGATGGAGTTTAAGCTTTCCTATGAGATGTGGCGGGTGGGGAAATGGGCAGTCCATGTCACAGATGTGAGACATATTTTAAAACAAAGAAAGCTATCTTAATTGAGTTTAATAATTTAATAATGACGATAAAAACATTGTCTTAGGTTCAGAAGGAAAGTGAAGAGCTATGTTTCACGGTTCACCTGGAGGAACAAAATAACCCTGAGAATCTCCACTGGGATGTGAAAAAAACCCAGTCAGATATACTTCATTTTTGTAGTCTCTTGCAGGTGAGAGAGGAAATGTTGAGGACTCTTCAAAGCATCGTTTCTATTGAAACCTATAGTATTTTGTATTATAGTCATTAATATCGGACTCTTATTATTAATTATTCTTAATAAATAATTGTAGTTGCTCGCTTTTAAAAAGTTTTTTTCTTTTCTTCTTCTTTTTTTGAAGGAATCTTCTGCTTTACCCTCTATTTCTGCAATAGTGGAAAACACAAAAGAAGAACTTGATGATGCATACACAGAGGAAGTCAGATCAGCCTTTGAGCACTTTTTACAGGTAATAGCAGTCACACACACCCACACACACTGCCTAGAATGTAAGAGGGAGTTGGAAGTAGAATGCCAGTAATTATATACATACCTGGAAATGTTTTCCCCTTGTTTCTCTCCAGGAGCTGGTTTCTGATGCACAGCTTGGTCACACTCAGCCTGTATTCCAGTTCTTGGGCCCTTTTGCTGGACTGCTGAGTGATAAGGAACACGAGGGAGGTGTGTGGAGTCTTCTAAATGGACTTGCAAGCTTCCTCACTCCTAGCCACGACGAGGAAGAGGTAAAAAATTATTTTAGGTCAATAGATTAAAGTCCCCCTGTAGTCAATAATTTTATCCCTCATTATTTGATACCAAAATTACATATTTAGATGTTTTTTCTTGTGAAAAATTAAAATAAAAAAATTATTTATGCTTAAATAGCTTGAATGTTATTCTACACCCTTGCTTCATTAGTATACGTGGATCCATGAATATGGAAAGTAGTGTCCGAGTCCGTCTCCAGCTCCACGCAATCACTCAAGCTTAGAATACCTGTTCCACTCACTCAACTTTTCTGTAGTAAACGCTTCACAATGGCAAGTGGAAATACGGGTTTAATTCAGCCATTGTCTTTAAAGACAATCTAATAATGAAACTGATGATCTACATCCGCTCAAAGGTTTGGGTTCAGTACGAATATTTAAAATTAAATTAATACTTATATTTACAAGATGCACTAAGATGCACTAATAATTAATCAAGTTACAGTTTACATTGTTACTTTTTTTAATGGTGTTCTTTTGAATCAAAACAGCACAACTGTTTTCAACATTTATAATATAAGAAATCAAATGTTTCTTGAGAAATAATTTCTTAAAGATCATGTGACACTGAAGACTGGAGTAATGATGCTAAAAATTCAGCTTTGACCTCACAAGAAAAAAATATGTGTGAGAAAAATATGAATACTGTTATTTTAAAATCATTAAATATTACTGTTTTTATTCTACTTGTGATCAAATAAATTCAGACCCTTTAAATGGTTAGTCCACCCAAAAATTTAAATTGTCATTAATTATACACCCTCAGTTAATTGTCATTAACTATTCCAAACCCATAAGGTTTACTACCTTTCTGGTCCTTGAAAGTGGTGATCGCATTGCAGTCTAGGAGGGTCAGAAGAAAGCTCTCGGATTTCATAAAAAATATCTTAATTTGTGTTACGAAGATAAACAAAGGTCTTATGTGTTTGGAACGTAATTAATGACACATTTTTTTCAGTTTCAGTTTTTGGGTGAACTATCCCTTAGCATATGAGACTTCTTTCAAAAACATTAAAAAAAACAACCTCAAACTTTTGAATGGTAGTGTATTAATATCAATATTTTATATATTTGGATCAATATAGCCTACATATTTAAATATTTGATGTCTATCTTGTCCAAATGGTCTTGTCCGTTTAGCTTGAATTAGCTTCAATTACCAGTGCACAGTGTAACTTATTGAGAATACCACCACCCTCTGGTAATTTAATGTTACTATGTTTTTTTCCCAGTCCCATAACTGCAGAGGGGAGGATAAGATTGAAGCTGAAACAGGAGCCTCAAGACATCACAATGCACCGACAGCACAGCAAGCCTGCATTGAAACAGTTGAAGAGCCAAAGGGGGGAGTTGTAGAAGGGCCAATGGCTACAATCGTACGGTTTTGTAACCCTGATGAAGAGACTGACCCCTTCAGAAGTAAAGAACCGGATATACAAGACAATGATCAGATCTTTGATGATGCTGATGTGGTTTGTGATGGGCAGGATAGTCTTGCTGAGAGCTTAGATATCTTTGTTAATAGGTCAAAATTAGTAATTCCCACTGTATACTCCAATGATGTCTCAAGCTCAGTCATGAACCATACTGAAGGTTTACAGTCTAACCCAGTTGATGGCTTTAGAATTGCCCAGTATGGGGTCAAAACAAACAAAAAAGAAAAGCTAACTCACAAAAAGTTAAATGGATCACATAAGTTCAAAGTAAAAGAGAAAACCGGACAGTTCAAGGACGAAATGACAAATCAGCCTCAGAAAAAGGAACCCCAGACCAATTGGGAGCAGGTTGAGGCCACCAAAGCCATATTTGATTTATTGAAGGAAATAACTGGTATGTTACTCCTTGTTCTGTTTGGCTTTTATGATGGACAAGAACTGAAACTAAAAAATGTTCTTTGCCCTTTAATTTTTGTCTTTACCCTTTTCAGGTAACTCAGTCCTCATTAATATTGTTGATGCCATTCTAAAACCAGTCCAGCCTTTGGTAAAGAAGTAAGTATTTAATAGTATATTTATTCAAATACCAAGGTTGTTTAGCTATAGATGTGAAGATAAGCTTAAGTAAGCTTTCGTCCCATGCAGGAAAATAAACAACTTTTTAAAAAGGATGCATCCTACCAAAGATCAGATTGCATCCTACATTGACATTTTCCGGGAGAAGATATGGCCAGATGGAAACGTACCCCAGCAGCCGCCACGGGACAGTGAGGAGAAAAAAGAGACCAAGGAGAAGGCTTTGCAGCTTATAAATTCAAAATGTACGTACAATATTTTCCCATGCTGTGATGAGCCTCCTCACTTTTTAAATGATTCCTTCTGGTTTTAGATTCAAACTCTCTAATCTTGAAGAAGACTGATGTGGAAGCAGTGTTTAAGGTATTCCAAGACACGGAGGAGAACAAGAAACTGGTCTATGTGAGAACTCAAGCTATGATTTTCATCTTATTTAAATAAATCCATTTTGAAATATATTCGAAGGTGAACCAGATTGACATTTCTATTCTTTGTGTGTGTCCGTAGAGCCTGCTTTCGTATGTTCTAATGGAGTTCCTGCCTGGAGAACCTGCCTTCAGTTCAATAGCTAATCTAACTGTGAAAGATTGTTTATCATTATAGAAAAGGGTATTTTATTATTTTAATAATTTGTTTTATATGTGCTTTACTTAATATTTTATATATGAATATTCTTCAAAGATGCATTCTAAGATTCCTCATTGAGGCCATGAGCAGCATGAACACTTGTTTCTTGATTTATTGATATTTTATATTCAACAAAAGCTACTGTGATTAAAAGAAGTTAAAGAAAGCCAAAAAGAACAAACACAAGAAGGAGCTAGGGTGTTTTTAGAAGGCTTCATCAGCACGTAGATCTGCTGTTATTGAAGATGATTGTGCAAGCAGCAAAGAGGGCTCCATCAAAAGCTGTGATTACTGTGATAATATCACAATATCTTTGGTGTAAATTTTAAACTTAAAAAAAGATCACTGAATAAGTTCACTTTTTGTTTTGTTCCTTAAAATTGTGCACTGTGAAGAACTGTTTTTTTTTCTATTTTAAAAGCAGCACCGCTTACTCAGGACTAAATAGATAAAGTCATTATGCTACACTGATAATGATTTTATAACAAGCCTTAATACAGGCTGAGGAATGTATGTGAATAATAATATTGCCAATAAATCTATTTTACTAATAATTGTGAGTCATTTTATTTTTTGCACCTTATTAAATTTAAATAAAAACGAAAAAATGAACAGTTAACAATTTCTGTTTCATATTTTACTCGACTGCAAAGTTACAGTTCTAAATGTTTGCTCCTGCACCTACTGTCAAACCCATGACGTAACTGTTAGTCCGCTACAACTGCGGGTGTTCGGAGGGGTTTCTGTAAACAACCTCAACCATATTTATGCTTATTATTAAACAAAACAGACTAATTAATAATGTTTTTACTCTTGACCCGTTTTTAAGTAAACCACGAACAGGTTTGTGACCGAGCTAATTTTTATTTGAGCTGATGTTTCTTACCCACTTTATGTTGGTATGGTCCAGTCGCCGAGAGACGAGCTTAGTAGAGAAAACAGGCAGGAGGATCCCAAACAAGCGAAAGGCTAACGTCGATATTAAACTGAATCGACCAAATCGACGTCCGCTAAACTAAAATAATTTAACCTAATTCAAAGTAACGACGTCGATACCTTATGTTTACGTCTTAGCTATCCAATTAAACTATGTCAACCCCAGCAAGACGGCGTCTAATGAGAGATTTTAAACGGTAAGCGTCAGAGAGAATGCTAAAGGCCCCTTGGTGCTTTATGGACACCGGCTACTCTCGGGGTTTAATATGGCGACTTTCCCCGCAAAAAATACATTAATTAACGACACTACCCCTCTCCGATAATGTATTTTTGAGGTCACCTGTGCGGTATGAGGTGCTGTCGTAATGTTGGTATAGTATATAAATGTAACTTCTTTGGGTAACTTGTTTTTCAGTCTCCAGGAGGATCCTCCAGCAGGAGTTAGCGGAGCCCCGTCTGAAAACAACATCATGGTCTGGAACGCTGTCATTTTTGGGTTTGTATAATTTGCTTTTCTTGACTGCGATAAACCGTTAACAGGACTCATTGACACTTGTTTATATCAGACCAATTCGAGGTCTATGGGATTCAGATTGTTAGCGGTAATTTAAGCAGTTTTAAATAGGCCAGATGGCCGGTGGACCCCATAAGAGGTGCTGGTTATTTGATCTTTAAGTGACGGTGTCCTGAATAGAGCAGTGTGTTGTTGTGTTGTCTTGTGGTGAAGGAAGCAGGTTATAATGTCATATCCGTAGACTGTTGTGCCTTGTTATTTTTGGATTAGAGTAATGCGCAGGGCTTTTGCAAATTGGCCAGTGATTTTGGCTTTGTTTCTTGCTGTCATGCCAAGTGTCATGTGTAACCTGACATGTTGACCCATTTCTTCTACTTACAGCCCTGAAGGAACACCATTTGAAGATGGTAAGTCAATAAAATACAAGCTTCATTCTTCATTGTCACATGATCCTTTGGAAATCATCCTATGTTGATTTGGTGCTCAAAACCATTTCTTATTATCAATGTTGAAAACAGTTTTTACACAATAATAGATTTTTTTTCAGTGGTCTTTGAATATTAAGCTTTTGTAACATTACTTTTTACTTTTACTGTCACTTTTTAAATTTCATTGTCCTGTCCTTTCTAAATAAAAGTAATTTCTTTCTTTAAAAAACAAAACAAACTACATTGACAGCTGAGTAATTATTGAGCTTTGGGTTCTAAATAATATTGTTGGCAACCGCTTATACATGCCACTTTGTAATTGTGTACAACTATTTGTAGTGGTGTAATAAATTTGTTTACGTCTGGCAAATGGTTTTGCTTCATATTTTCTTTTTCTGCTTGTCATAGGAACTTTCAAACTCACAATAGAATTTACAGAAGAATATCCAAACAAACCTCCTACAGTCCGGTTTGTCTCCAAAATGTTTCACCCTAATGGTAAGTTTTACAAACTCAGTGATTTTTGTATTTATAAATTCCTTGCACTTAAGATTACTTAATCTAACTCTAAGTATGTGCCAATGGACCATACAATCTAATTGTCTTTCTTTGTGTTCAGTTTATGCAGATGGTAGTATATGTTTGGACATTCTTCAGAATCGTTGGAGTCCAACATATGATGTTTCTTCAATTTTAACCTCAATACAGGTACATGTGTGCACTTCTTTCTGCTTTTTTTTTTTTTTGCAAAGACTAATTCTTTTAATTAGCAAGAGATTTTTTTGAAACTTTTCTTTTTGCTATTTTGAAAAAAAAAAAAAATGTGAGGATTGTTAACATGCCTTTCACTTGTCACAGTCTTTACTGGATGAGCCGAACCCAAACAGCCCTGCCAACAGCCAGGCAGCTCAGCTGTATCAGGAAAACAAGAGAGAGTATGAGAAACGTGTGTCTGCCATTGTGGAACAGAGCTGGCGCGACTGTTGACCCTCCTTACAGTTCCCATACGAACAATAGTCCGCCTCAGCCAATGATAGGGAAACCACCGTGCAAAGCATAAAATAAAACAGATCATGATTTGAATCATTCTCCACTTATTCAGTAGAATTGTCTGTTCTATAGCTGTTGCAAGATTAGAGTGTTGTTGTGTTGTGGTCTCCCTCTTCATGCAGGACCTTATCTTGGAGGAGGATAAACCATAATTTAACAAAATATTGTTGCCAGGGTTACTTGCTTTTATTTGGCCAGCCCTCATTTTGGTCATCTTTATTTCCTTCTACACTGTGGGCTGATTTCATTTGGGTTATTAACATGTTGGTTTCTGTTTTCAGTATGATATCTTTTTTTGAATGTAGAGATTTCGTTGCGTCTCTGCAAAAGTGTCACGCCATTTCAGAGTTCCAAATTAAATGGCAAGGACCTTAAAGATGGTTGATACATTGTCTGGTATGGAAAGCGTACACGTTTCAGAAACTGCACTTGGAAAACCTGACTTTTTAAAACCAAATGTGGGAAATGGCCCTTTTTTATCAAGTGTAAGTGGCTTGTTCTTTTAATTCAGCAGTTCACATTGATTTTTAAGGTGTTGCCTATTGACACTGACTGCATGTTAGTTTGTCAGCAGTAATTGTTTGAAGGTACACAGTGATCTATCTCAACATAACAAAGTGGCATCTTTAAGTGTGTTTTCTTTAGTTCTGTGTTCACTATTTTTTGTCTGTTGCACGTTTTTCTTGCTTTTTTAAAATTCCATTAAAGTGCCGTTTATTTTTGACATTGAATTGCTCCTCCAAACATATGGATGTGATACTGTCATGCAGTGTCTATTTTAGCTAATTCAAATCTTAATTTTTCTAATTTACCAAGAGTGTCCAATTTGCACTAGTGACCCATGTAAGAAAATACATTTTCTCACTTCTTGTAAATAAACAGTAAATAAACTCTATGGTGTTTTTTCTTGAACAAAAATAAGACGAGCAATTGAGTGAACTGGAAAATGGATCATGACCAGACTAAATTTAATGTGTCAAAACAAGCAGGCTGGTTGACAGTTTTCACAAAAGCAAACAGCTTCACAGGGATTGCTGCTCAGGCATTATCGTTTAGAGATAAATACTTAATTCTACAATCAACAACCAGAAAATAAGAAAAATCTATGTTCTGTAATTATTTCAAGGGTATTTTTATATTTCAAATGTTTATCTTACAACAGATGAAAGACTGAGTGAATTATATATTGTCCATTTTGAAAGCATAATAAAACAGAACGAATGGAATGTCATGTTCTGCCAAAAGGCCCCACTTCTAATAGCCATGTTATTAAATATTTGGAAGATTGATGATATTACAATGTTTAGTGAGTAACATGATTTGTGTTCATCAAATGACTTTGACCTAACCTACTGTAAATCTGGACAAACTGGTAAAGGGAAGAAAAGGGTACACATTGTAGACATTGAGAATTATCACAATTTCTTTTTTAATTACACTCTTCGGAAACAAATTAATAGGAAATGTAACAAGTAAAACTGCTTTATTAATAGTCATCTCAGAGGCCTTTGAGCCCAGTCATTCTGAAGCCTGAGGCTTCACCAGTTCATATCGTCCCACCTGCCCTTCCTGTAAAAGCTGACCAATCAGCTGTTCCTTCTGGACTCTGCGGCTAACGACAAGAAAGCGTTGTCGGCCCTGTCCGTACGATTTGCTGCGCAGCCCGTACCTTTGGGATATCTGGTGGATCTGCCGGCGCTCTTCATTGTTGAGCTCCGTAGAGAAGCGCAGTTCATCTTGACGGTTTGAACTCACATAATTCCGAATGATTTCCTCAATGTCGCGCTTAGTCAGATTACTTTGCCTGTCCATGCCAAGTCCTTCCCTGTTATACTGCTCTTTGACTTTGATAGGTTCAGCAATGCCCTCTCCTTCTCTACCCAAACCACCACCCGTCCAGCCCATCTTACGGAGTAGCTGGTTACCAATGTTGTCCTCCTTGATCTCCTGCCGCATGGATTCCTCGCCAGAACGAGCAATGATTTGATTTCGGGAAATTGCATCCACATTGCCCTCCTTCCTGAGGTTAGACTTCACCACAGCCTGTGTACATCGAAGTGTGGCAAGGGCTTCCTCTGCTGCAATGTGTTTCACCGTCTTTTTAGGCCCAACGCCTGCAGCCACGTACTTACCATCTAGGTAAACTTCACACTGCCAGCGATGGTCCGGCAGAACCGTGAATTTGTATTCAGCAAGCACTTTATTAAATTGAGCAGTGTCATTTATTATGCAAATAGCATTATCAGAGTTTTCAAGAATCACCAATTCACCCAGATGTGCTTTCTTGCTGCTTTGCTGGGAATATCGACCACTGGGCTGGTCCAAAGTGTGGTTCCCTCCAGAAAAACACTGCTGCTGCTGCTGCTCTTGTTGGCGAGCAGTCTGGTTCATTCGTAACTTCCTCACCGCCTCCTCCGCCGCTGCATGTTTCGAGCTCTTCTTGGTCCCTCTGGCTTGTGCCACCAGCTCACCCTGCAAGTACACACTACAGAGCCATAAATTGCTATTGTGAACCGGGTCAAATGTGTAATCAACTTTCATGCGGTTGAAGGCAGCCGAGTTGTTGAGTATACAGATGGCGTCGTGTGCGTTCTCCATGATTACAAATTCTGTCCAGTGTTTGCTTTGGTCAGGCTCATACTGGCCCTTGGTACTTGGGGGCGGCTTGTCCTCCGGGTTGCGAAGAGGTGGGGGGAGGGTAGGGTCTGGAGTGTTAACTTGGCACACTACCATGTCATTGACGCGAGTGCGCTTGTACAGACGTTCCAAGACACGGACTTCCACCGGCCTCAAAAACAGCTTGACAGCCTGTTCTGATGCTCGGTCTCTGGCACCGTTCTTGCTCCCAGAGTACCCGGTGGCAAGGTACACACACTGACACCTCAATTCACATGCATATCCTTCAGTGGGTACTTTTCTGTTCTTAGGAAGGTCAGCGGGTGGAATATCTCTTAAATTGACATAGATGTACTCTGGGTTCGTCTTGCAGGCCTGAATGCTGCGGCTAAGCATGAAATTGTAATTTGGGCCGTCGGGTCCACTCATGAACAAAGGATTTCTGAGGCTGATGGCAACGGCGGATGATACTCTAGTAATAAGCCTCTGTTTTTCGTTAACTATTTCTGGAAGTATAGAAGTCGGCAGAGAGGGTGTAGGGAGAAGGCCAGCGCCTCTTCTGCTTGGACCGTCGTATGCCCTGCTAAATGCCTTGCTGGAAGTCGGCCTATCCTGATGTCCAAATCCCAGTCCACACCCTCTGCTAACCCAGGCTCCAGACCGTCCAGCACCTCCGTATCCCGGAGGATCTCGGACTGCCTGTGAGAATGATTCAGAGTTTTTGGCATGATGAGCCTCATAACTAGCAGTGTATTCCTGCTGCACTTTGCACATGAAGTTCTGGGTACTGCTACCATAGCCAAACCCACTTCTGCCGCTCGCAGCCACGTCTTTGGTTCTGTTCTCAGGCCAAGAATCATAACCGTACCTCCCCATCTCAAGGCAGCCAGAGGAGGAAGAAGGGCCATTGTCATGGCTACCATTATATGGCTGATGATATGGTTCCTTCTGTCTTACTTCATTCATCTCACTCCTCCTGCGCTCCTTCTCATTCTCTTTTTCGTCAGTTTCTCCATTTCCACTGCCACAACTCCCACCACTCACAAAGTGTACTGGCTGAAATCGAGGTCTGGAAGTGAATTTTGACACAGGCATCTTTTTCGTGGGCTCTTCACCTAGAATATGAAGTCATATATAATTAAAATATCAATTTACATGCAAATATAAGTTATAATGCTGCTGTTTTGTTTACATAGAGAATTAAATATTTTTAAGTCCCCCTGTAGTCAACCATTTTATCCCTTAAAACTCATCTTTGATTACCAAAATGGCATAAAAAATGCCTGTGACAAAAATGTCTTCATGCCTTAAAATAGCTTGAATGTAACTCTACACCATTGCTTCATTCAGTATATTTGAATAACACTCACTCGCCTCCACTCACTCAGAAAGACTTTTCTACAAGTCAACATATCAGAATGGTAATGTGTTTTATGTATCGCTCTCTACAAGGTCGGATACAAAACGGTATTTAATATGATTAGACTTTTGCTAATAATATATTGCTAATGTTACACAAACATTGTTCCATTGTTCACCATCTCAAAGTCAGACAACTAAAAATCAGCATCCTTAGAAACACTTTGAACAAGAATGTCAGTAGAGAAAGGCAAATATCATAACATTGTAAAATGATGTCCATAATTCACCAGCTATATTGCTAAATGTACCCGATATTTCATATCAACAGAAAAATATACCGGGATAACCTGGCTTCTCTTGAGACTCACAGAGCAGTCATTGTTAAAGGGGTGGTTGATTGCAATTTTACTTTTTTCATTTTAAATAGTGTGTAATGTTGCTGTTGGTGCATGAACATTATCTGCAAAGTTACTGCGCTGAAAGTTCAATGTAAGCAGAGATATCGTCTTTTAAAAATCAGGAAGTTTAATGCCTACAAAAACATTTACATCAACAGATGTAAGAAGCGGATAGCAGATAGAAGCACCCTCACCCTCAGATCACTTGGACGTGACAGTGATTACAAGAGGTAAAAACGATATAAATACTGTTCGTTTTTGTGTCTTGTTGTTTTGTGTCTCGTTTTGTGTCTTAAGCCATCAATGTGCACTTACATTTACGATTCATTAAATCATGTTTAATTTGGACTTCTCAGTGCATGCTCTTTGAGGTGGACCCCCTATACCTGCATTATATGACTGATGGACAACAACGGTTTGATCGAAAAATATAAAAACTGAAAATACTGTGGAAACAAAGACACCTACATCTTGGATGCCCTTGAGGTAAGCTAAAACATATCAAAAATTAATTTCAAAGTGAACTATCCCTTTAAAAACTTTTCATTTTAATTGATGCCAAGCACCCACAAAAACTTTTCAAATGCGGAATAATATAAATCATAAAAATGTATGTTTGTATGTCAGATAGCAGATAGATAGATAGATAGATAGATAGATAGATAGATAGATAGATAGATAGATAGATAGATATCAAGCATTGATAGACTTACTTCCATCGGATGAACCTGGTCTCTTTTTTGATTCAGCATTCGGGACTAGTTCATATGAGGGCATTTCACCAACATCAATCCCTTCTGCCATCTCAAGCACCTTGACCATTAGATGGGAGGCATATCTGCTCACCAAAAAAAAAGGACAACCATAGTATTGGTTGGCATTACTAATGCATAACTTTACATTTAGTATGGTATGTATAAATAAGACATACACTTGTAAGCAAAATTAAATGGTATACAGCCAACTTTTCCAATTACTTACACTAAGTATGCACAAAAAATAGTTAAACAGCCCAATTCTCATGATATATTCAATCCCCACCTGCATCCCATGAAAACGTAGTTCACCCATACCATCGACAGGGCCAGTAAATTATCAAGAGCATTTCCCTCGTAATCTTTAATGTGTTTCAGTATGAACTGACGCCTAGCGGACCACTGCTTGTTAGTCTCGAACTCCTGACGGTATTCATCGATATTACAGGTCCAATTACGCGGACCAGCGGGTTTACATGAAACACGCGGGCCCGTTGAATGGTGTCTGATCATCCCGGTATCTGACCAGTGTCTGACGATAGCGAGCGAGCAGCTAACCGGAAACAACGTAGTGCGCACAACATTGCATTCTGGGCAGGGGTTGCCAGGTACGCTCCAACTCGAGCAATACAAAAACAACCCGCGGAAACAGTGTTAAAGTAAGCAGCAACACTTGGCAACATTGGTGATGGGAACGTCACACTTACACTTAACATATTACGTAAGGTAGCTAATGCCAGAGACTATTTGCTAATGCTTATTATAACAATCACGCAATACTTCTAAAGTCAGATACTTCTTAGGTTTGCATAACGTAAACGTAACAAATCAAGATGATCTGAGATCTGTAACGTTACTTGCCCAGTTAGTTTACTATGATATTTAACATGAGACAGGCCTCACAAGGATTCACAACAACCTTAGCCATATTTCTCACCAAGTATTTATATTTTAAATAGCACACCTTTTAACTCTTTAATCTACAGCGTTCGTCAAGCATGCACTTTGCCATACATACATTTGGTGTTTCCCTTACGGTTAAGTTCTCTTTGGATGAAACTAAAAATGACGCAGTAGCATTTTCATTCTAACACTATTCTTCAGTTTTGTCATGCTAATTATGCGCATTTATTGTGAGAAGCTTACCTTTGTCGTACAGCAGCTCTGTTTAGATGCTCTTGGGTGTAGTAACGTTATAAAGCCGCTGTGCTTTGAGGCGATTTAGACGCACAAACTAAACTGCAGCTTAAATTGACAGTGCTAAAGCTAATCCACTCAGGAAAAGATAAACGCATTCATAGCCTACTGCTTTTCTCAAGAGACACATTTGATAACATTTAGATTGGATCTGAGGTCAGTAAATGCAAATACATTTCTTCTAACACTTCTATAAGCCTAAATATAAGGGTAACACGTCACAATAAGTTCCCGTTATTGCAGTAACGATTAGCATTTGGTTAACTAATATTAATCAATGCTTTAGAAGTATTTTGGTTACATTTTATTTTAAGATGTCCTAGTTAAAGTGTAATTACATTTAAGTATTGATTAATAATAATTTACACCATATATTTACTAAAGGGTTGGGAATAGGGCTTGGTTTATGGTTAGTTAGTTGCATCTATCTACTGTTACACTAAGTGCACATAACAAGCATAACAGTCCAATTTTTTTTTATTGATTTCCACCATCACCACAGCCAGACAAAAACAATTTACAACAAAAATAAAATTAAATATACAATTATAATAATATAATTATTATAAAAGTAAATGTATTACTCTCTGATATTTTACATATCTAATTCACATACAAAAATAACCTAAAACACTATTAAACTGAGTTTCCATGATAAAAGGCAGAAGAAATAAACAAAAAACAAAAAAAATTAAAATAAATATATATATATATAAAAAAAAAAAAGAAATAAATTAAAAAGCATCAAACCAATGCTTCAGTGCCATTGAATTCATCATACAAAGCCTTTAGGCCTTGTTTAACATTATACAAGATCATTCCTTTTACACAGTTATTTGCAACAATTCGTCTATGGCTCATGAAATGGGGTTGTTTGGTATCGGCATCTATTCCTGAGTGTATCTCGACTTGCTCCTCACCGTCACTGGCTGTAGAATCTATTCGAGGTTGATATCAGTCCTGGTAATAAAAAATATTTTACTTTAACAATGGCTTTAAATATTTATATAATGCCTTTATGACACTCTGTCTGAACATTAGAAACAAGTTTATGTTGATACTTACACTTCTGCTCAGTTTGAAAAGGATGCAGTAAGATCACAAGGATAAGAAGACAAAAAATGTGCACTTTAGTATGTTTCATAGCAGTGTCAGTTAAAAAAAGGGTGTAAGGTGTATTGTTTGAAATTTTTAAAAAGCTATAGTCTGTATAGTATAGAAAACTGGGCTGTATACACATACACACACACACACACACACACACACACATAGGATCCTCATTTCTGATAAAGAAAGAACAGAAATCTCACCTGCTGGTTTGGGTGACATTAGAACCAGAGGGAGTTCAACGGTAATATCACTGTGAACAGAAGATAAACATGACTTGGCATTACTCTCACTGCTCACAAAGCTAAAACACAACACATCATGTACTGCTGAATTTATTTTCACTGTTGTTTAATGACAATGTAACTAAGCAGACTGTTCCTTGTCAAGTAGTTGTGTTTGGGCATCATCAATGGAAATATATAATGGCAGAACAAGGAGAGTCCAATAACATTGAGTTGAAAGAAAAGAAATATGAAGATCTAAACCTTAATGTGAGGCTTCCCAAGAGACCACCTCCCATCACGAGGGTAACCTTTATTTTGTAGGAGACAATGACACCTTGGATTTGCTTATCCATGTCGGGTTGCAGACTGCAGAGAGAGTGAGAGAGAGAGAGAGAGAGAGAGAGAGAGAGAGAGAGAGAGAGAGAGATGCAGATGTGTCATCTTGTTTTTCGATATTAAAAAAGTGTTGTTTTTTCAAATGTATAAAAATACAGAGCTTTTATTTGGACTGTGAACATGAAAATCTGTCTAATGCTTTTGTAATGAAGATTAACTTACATTGTTGAAGAAGCCAAGTTGGTATCTTCATCTTTCAGTTTGCCATCCAGTGCAAGGCCACGTTTCTCTTTGTTATTGGCCAGGAGAGGAGTGACACTATATTCCTTCTCAAAGGTGGAGTTTGCATTAATTTGGTCACTGTAACAAAAGATTTCAGAAAGTTCAGATCTCAAAAACAAGTAAATACAACATATAAAGGATGTATAACACTAAAATCCAAAAATATTTTAAAGATCCTCTGACAAATGCGATGTGGAGGTCTTTGCACTCACCCAAATTCTTCATTCAGGACACATTTGTGGTATTTGTCAGCTGAGTAAAGCAATACATCTGTAATTTGGTAAACTGAAACACACAATGAGCTAAAGTTTATTTTGGATCATTGTAGGCAACACTTACACTAATTAAAGACAATAACGAACCATTCTTAAGTAGCTTCAATGGATGAAGACTGGCTGTTTTGTTTATTGAAATGAATTCTAAAAATACTTACTACTGATTTTGACTTTCTTCACTACTTTACTGGTCTCATTGTTCACTTTGACTTTGATAGGAATGGGATCGCCGTGATAGTAGAGCTGAATGCATGAGAAAACGGCAGTGAATAAAGAAGAGACTGCATATGATGGAATATATAGGCTATATTTTCTTAAATGATCTACAACAAGCATTTAAAAACACAGTACCTCCTTCTCCATGGAGGCTTCCAAGTGAATTGGTTTGTCCGCCGTCATAAACTGTTTGTTGAGATCGGCCTTGGGTCCGGCTGTTATCTCATTTGGTGCATATTGTATTTTGCGGATGATCAAACGGCAAGTGTCCCTATATTGGTAGAGATACCAGAATCAGAGTGAAAATGGATTGATTTCTTTTTATAGTATCTTTATGTTAAAATAGAGCAGTACATACTTCTTCTCAACTTTCTCATCTATGCTGTCTGCTTCATTTGCAATGTAGGCTTTGACTTCATAGTCAACCCCGCAAGGCTGCAAAATTGAACATTTTACATATTAGAGAGACATTGACATCTGTGATTGCATTTGTGTGTGTTCTTCATGTATTTCTGCAACTGTACCTTCCCGGCATCCTCTGGTGCTGGCTGAAGGGACACTGAGCATGGAAGATGTATTGGAATCTGAGACAGAACAGGGAGAGACACAAATGAAGGACGTCCTTGATTGTTTTTTTCAATGCTTAAGCAGACGCATAAGTTTAGATTTACATCAAAAGTGAAGGGATGTCCTTGATCTCCAGCTTTCTTCAGAAGCGCTTCCTGCATTGGTGTATTTGGGGGCTTGGTTCCCTCAAAGGGATACATCTGTATGCGCTTTATCCAGATGTCTTTCCTAAAGGAAACTCCAATCACATCCAGATCATCTTTTCCATAGCGGAAGGCACATGCAAGCTGTACCCAGACTGAAAAAATAAAATGTAATGTTTAGATGAAGTGTCTATATGAATTGAGTCACAGACAAACTTTTCATGATATTATATTAAATCACACCTTTCCTTCCATTAAGATCTGAAGGATCAATCTTGAGCACCCCATCTGAGAGGGAAATTACAGGTTGATTGAAATATTGCACATGAATAGAAAGGTGGTTACTATATACATATACACATTTAATCAAAAAAGTGAGGAATAATACAGTTTCCAAAGTAAAGTAGAACGTACCAACTGAATCAACACTTTCCACATGGTCCACAAAGTCTCTTTTCCCCAAATAAAGGCAAAGCTGTAATAAATAATGAGTGAGGTGATTATGTGTGCTTGTGTTTTAAAAAGATGTTGAGAGCATGTACATGCGGAACAGATGACAAGTAATGCGAGTTGTAAAACGGAACCTCACCGAACCATTTCCACTGGTCTTCTTGAAAACCCTGTAGAAACAACATACAGTCTTAAAATCATGATCATTGTTATAAGCTCAATTTACTCTTTAAAGGGGATGTGTGTAGTTTTTAATGTAAAACAAAGACTAAATTAGACTAAATTAGTGGCAAGTTGTTTCATTTGAGTTTTGTATGAATTTCTCCCAACTGGTAATAACATTTTACGCAATCACCAGGACATATTTACTGTTTATCGCAGATCATATCCAGTTATTAGATAGAAGCTCGTTTCACATGGAACAGAACTTGATTTCAGCAAGTGCAACATGTTCCTGGATCAACAGTTTAGGTAATCTTGGAACAACATTCCAATCAACCAATCAGATTTGAGGGACAAGTTTACAGTTTATGTCAATTTTAGGCTTACAACTATCGGTGCTTCTACATCAGAGCTATTCACTTAAAATTTCCCTTGTTTTGATTACATTATCATTATATTTTTGGACAGGAACATTGTTTCAGGATCAGGGATACGTCTAACTCGGCAAAATCAGGACGTGCTGCTTTGAGTCTATGCTGAATTAGTTAATGATATAACTCAAAGTCAAATAGGGAAAATCATGTAATGTTGGCCATTACACATCCCTGAAACTAATGTGTTCTGGTTGGTCTCTTAAAAAGATGATTTTAAACAAATATCAGTATCTGTTGCTTTTGTATGATATGCCTTGTTAGTCGACATGATGAGGTGATAAAGTCATCTGCATAGGCTATGCTAATCTTTGCACGGTAACTTTTAAACTCTTGTGGTAATCCTGTCAATCCATTCTAAAAGGGATTTCTTATAATCTGGTAATCCACTAGGATTGAAGACCAAAAAGACTTCTACAGATTTAATACTGAATGAGTGTGAGAGTATTACACGAAGGTTGCTTAAGAGGGGTCATGAATATGACTTAAATATTGAATAGACTGTAGGATATTGCGCAATTACGATCTTAAATGCCTTTCATTTGCCTGTTTGATGTTTTAAATGTCTTTATGCCTCATTTTTAAAGTATTTGTAAAATGTTGGGATAAGTTAGAATGCACAAACTTACTTTGCCATGGTTATAGAAAGTCAGTTGAAGCTTTCTGAAATGAGAAGTGAAGTGGTTAGTGTGTAAAGTGTGCCAGCAGAGGGCAGTCGTTTGATTTAGCAACATTTAAAAGAACCAGCATCCTGCCCTGAATTGAGTAGTGTTCGGAAAACCATTCATGTTTACATATTGTCCTGCTGAGATTTCAATCCACGAGGGCTAATCAGGGAAAAGGAGATTACGAGAACGATAGACGGCTTCATAATCCTCCACAGAAGCCGCACTCTGGATTAGCTCTTATCTGTTTATAATTTGCCTCTGTGTATGAGGCCAACTATTTCAAACCTGGGAAGAGCTAGCAAAACATCTGTGCTATATTTTTTAAGGAATTGCAATGAACATTAAATTACCATTTTAAACGTGGGACTGTTGGGCCTTTGGAAATATTTCGATATGAATATATTAAATAATATTTACATATATAAAAAACCTAAGCAGGAGCAGCTCAGCTGTATTTGTTTTGTGTTTCCAAAGAAATACAAAATGAATATGAAACTTTACATTCTAGAGAAATTAAACACAATGAACATAATAATCACAATTATTCTTCTCAATTGCAATCAAAATGTAAATTCATATGTTGACTTTTATCGTTCTCGTGATCAATCTAAGATATTCTTGATATAGATTACCTTATTTTGTCAAGTTAAGGTTATACTAGTTAGCAACAGGATTAGGTTCAGGAATAACCAGAAAGCAAACTTCTGACCATAAAAACAACCATGCTCCTCAGGTCTCTATTGTATTTATTTTGCCACATTTCAATCTAACTAAAGCAAGAATTAGACAAAAAGTGCACTGGCACAGGTAAAAATCGGCACACCACAGTTCCATTAACAGAAAATGTATTTATTGCATGTTCTCAACAAAAGTGACATTTTGAGCCATCTGGCTCATGTCAATTCTTTCCTTTTTGTGAATCTTCCTAAAGAAGACATGAATGCTAATGTTCACACTGAACAATCTCATATAATTTAAATCCAAATCAGCTGCATGCTCTGACACTTTCACCTCAAAGTCTATGTGCGTTTTTCAGTGTAATGACAGTCCAGATCTTCTTACCTGTGTCCAAGATCCTGGAGAATGTCCTCTGCTTTGGTCTTGACTGTTGCACGTGAGCAGCGTTCTGTAGCTGGTGTTGTTGGAATGCTAGTGTGTTTCCCAGTTTGTCTTGTCCGCCTTTATAGTGCAAACTCTCCTCCCTCATTTTGGTCTCAATCCTCTTAGTTCATTAGTCCTCATCTTTTTCTGGCTACAATGTGTATAAAAATAAACACAGAATTGGACTTACGGATTAGCTATTGAGAAGTAGATGGTATGAATGAGAGTGTCATGAGTGCCTGGGGGTCATTTGGTTGTACGACAGAATTGTAATAATATGGTTACATCTCTCATCAAAGCTCCACCTCTAAAATAGCATGTGTCCATTTAGGGCATGTACTCACCGTGGCCTCAGTTTCCAAGTCATGAGGCCAGATTAACAATAACAACTGCTTTTAAAGCGTCACAACATAGCCTACAGTATACTTTCATCTCAGATGATGAGCATGAACAGGAATCAAAGTACACTCAGCTTTAAAACTTCTGCTTGCATTGCCATTGCATTGTATCATAAACACTTAAATGGTTCTCTTGGCTTTGGTCTTCTGGGTTTTAGATTGAATGGGGGAGAGTGTGAGACTATTTTAGATAAGCAGTTAAAGGGGCACTGTCATTGTACCCTCAGGGGGATTTGTGGCTGCAGTATAGGCCCATAGTAGCTACAAACAGCCGATTGGCTGTTACTATACAGTATGTGCCCCAACAATACGCGACGACACTCAACATGTCTTTGAGATAATTATCTGAAATTGCAAGTGAGAAACTAATATCACAATAAATAGAGTATATATGTAAACAATAAATAAATAATTTTTTTATGAGACTGCATCCATGCCACTAGGTGACACTATTAGTTGTTTTATATAGTGTGTAGCATTCCTAAAACACAAATATCTGTCATATGGTCCCAACTTTCCCCCTAACAATGTTTTGTTAAAACAATATGCAATTATAACAAGGTATTATTGTTTTGTAATTAAAAGTATTGAACAGAAACACAATTTTGAACATATTGCATCTCATTCATGCATGTCTGCTTTTGATCTCTGTTTGGGTGGCATGTCAAGGCGTTTTTTTATTACATATGCTTTTTTAAAGTTAATCATGAAATCAATGATTACTTAAATCAGGTATATTCAACAAATTTGTCAGCTGAATGGACAATAGTAATCATAAAACAAAAGAATAATAGGCCTATAGCTGTACATTTCTAAATAATCAGGGCTAACTCTAATTGACACTTTTACACATGCTGTCTTTGATAGTATGTTCAACAGGGCATCAGTTAGATGTGATCTCCTTAAACATAGCTGCTCATGTCTCTAACCCTGCTGGCCTGAACAGGCAGATATTGAATGAGAGGTCACAATCATCAAGCACTTCCCTGCCATTCACTACCACACTTTCCAAAACATGTGTAGACACATCAGCATATGCAAATTAGGTTCTACACTTCAAGTATAAGCTGTTTTTAAGAGTTAGACTTACTTACTATATCCTAATACACTATATTGACAAAGGTTTCGGGACATCTGCCTTTACATGCACATGAACTTTAATGACATCTCATTAATCCGTAGCCAATTTGGAGTTGGTCCACCCTTTGCAGCTATAACAGCTTCAAGGTTTAGGAGTTTGATTATGGGAATTTTTGACCATTCTTCAAGAAGTGCATTTGTGAGGTCAGGCACTTACGTTAGACGAGAAGGCCTGGCTCACAGTCTCCGATCTAATTTATCCCGATATCGGGTTGAGGTCAGAACTCCTTTATTATGCGGCCCGTTTTCTTAAAAAATGGGATGTAGTATGCAGGATATTTATGCAATTTTATGCAATGAAATTGAGGGAACTTGCAAAAACTGCGGTTTTATTAAACTACCTACTTGGCTATTACCTTTATGTAAAGAGTCAAAGAGCATACATACTACATAACAGAAAGTGAATATTTAAGTTCTCATCTTGTTTTATTTCAAACCTTAATAATAAACACATCAAACTTACAAAACATTGATGAGTCAAACAAGTTCTGTAGCTTTACAAAAGGAATATGCTACAACTTCTGTAAAAAATAATACATTAAATATTAAAAAATAAAGTGTGCTCCTGTTTTACAGATTTTGGATTTTCAGATGTGACTTTTTTGCAATGAAAATACGATGATTATGAAATCATGCAAGCCCCGCATATTATGCAAGGAAATCAGCAATTTTTGGGTGTATTGGAAAAAAAAATTGCCCCTGCATAAATATGCAGACTTTGGCTGATTATGCACTAAATCATGCGATCGCATAATTACTTTTTTCTGGAGGGACAGACTAGTCAAGTTCCCCCACCCCAAATTTGCTCATCATTGTCTTTATGTACCTTGCTCTGTGCACTGGCACGCAGTCATGATGAAAAAGGAAGGGGCCATCCCCAAACTGTTTCCACAAAGTTGTGAGTATAAAATTGTCCAAAATGTCTTGGTATGCTGAAGCATACAGGGGTTAATTTCACTGGAACTAAGGGGCCAAGCCCAAACCCCTAAAAACAACCCCACACCATTAACCCCCCTCCACCAAACTTTACACATGGCACAATGAAGTCAGGCAAGTACCGTTCTCCTGGCAAACGCCAAACCCAGACTCGCCCATCGTGAGGAAATTTCATGAAAGGACTTATTGCACACGTGGCAATTGCCATCACGCTACCACGCTTGAATTCACTGAGCTTCTGAGAGCGACCCATTCTTTCACAAATGTTTGTAGAAGCAGTCAGTCTATGTGCTTGATTTTTGCTGTGGCCATGGAAGTGATTAAAACACATGAATTCAAAGATTTGGAGTGTGTCCCAATACCTCCTGGCATATTATGTTTCGAAATTCAAGATGTTACCTTTAAAACCATTTCATTAAGAATTTACAGTTAGGAAAAGGTCACATAAGTTAGTTTTTAATTTATTCGTTGCAAAAAAACCCATTTAATGATAATTAATTACTGGGGCTTTCTTATGATTTTGGTACAAACCAATTTAGTCAAGTCAATTTATTCATAGAGCACTACATAAACACAACATGTGTTGATCCAAAGTGATTTACAGATGGTCAAATAAGTCAATAGAGAAAAAAAACCGAATAATAATAGACAAAGAGAACATTTCATACGAATACAAATACACGGTGTAACATACACAGCATCACTCAAATGCAAGAGTATAAAAATAAGTCTTTAAACTAAATTTAAAAACGTTGAGCTATGGAGAGGCCCTGAAATTAAAAGGTGAGCTGTTCCAGGCTGTTAGGTGCAGCAACCACGAAAGCTCTGTCGCCTTTGGATTTGCAACGTGAACAAGGGACTGATAAAAGAAGCTGCGGTTACAAGAACTTAATGACCTAGAGGTTGTATATGTAAGGGTTAATGCCCGACGAGGTGTCCATTGTCAGGTTTTAATGGACGACGGCGAGGCGTAAACCGGCCGACGCGCAGCGGAGGACGGTTGCCTCCGCCGAAGTCCATTAAAACCTGACAATGGACACCTCGGAGGGCATTAACCCGCTTATACCATGGTCACTTGCCAAATAAAACATTAGTTTATATTTTAATTAGGCTAAATCTAGTTTTTACAAATAATAACTTGACTGACTGTTTATCTAGCAACCGGAGATATTTATAGTCCGCTTAGCTCGTATCCCTTCAGGTTCACAAATGCATTTTTTTTTCATGAAACACAAAGGTAGGCATAGTTTTTTTTTTTTATTACACATAAAACAATTAATCAAACAACAATAAAAAAACAATTAGCTCTGAGCTCCAGCGATTTGCGCTTAACGTTATAGAGGGCAAAAATTAATCAGATCAAAGAGAGGGTCATTTGCCTCAGGCTCCTTAGGCTTGAAACGCTGTAACGTTCAGCCTTCTCCTGCCTTGGTTGTCTGGACAGCTGCGTAAAACTCCCGCAGGGTCTCATTCAGGGGTGCGTTTCCCGAAAGCATCGTGTTATCCAACTATGGTCGCAAGTTACGTCGTTACCAATAGAGTTCAATGGAGCAGCGCAGCAGCGGTGTAATTTCCTCCGTTTTATTTACATTTTTTCTTTCTTCAGCAGCATACCAGTCGTCAAAGTTGCCATATTCTCCATAAATGTTAAAAGAAATAGCACGAAGTCGCTCATTGTTGTATTAGGCTATAATATCATAACGTTAGGTGATTAGATAGAACGTTAGCATGTGACTGCCTGTTGCTATGGTTACTCACAGCCGTTGTAGGCAGCGCATTTATTTATTAATTTCGAATGGTAAACAGGCAGTTTCACCAGAACTACTTTACTAGGTGTCCTCTATCACTTTTTAACGGACACCCTGCAGCCAATCAGAATCGAGTATTCACCCAGACCATGGTATAAGGCTGGATAAGATCACAGATATAATCAGGGGCTGATTTTTACATGGCCTTATATACAAAAAGAAGAACCTTGAAATCAACTCTGAATTTAACAGGGAGCCAGTGCATTGAAGCAAGAACAGGTGTGATATGAATTTATATTCAAAACGGTGGTCTAGGTGACAACACATGACTTAGCTATCTCCTTTTACTAAGATATACTGTTACCAAGGTTCACATGATCACATCTCAACCAAATTTCCCAACCAAATTCAGTTTTCGACTAAGAACTAAACATCTTGGTTTCATTTCCTGTAGTCACAACACTCACTCCCCATATGACTAATTTAAATGACTTATCTGGAGAGTACAGGCATGCAGTCTGTTATCTAAAACTCAATAAGAAATCATGTTTGGTCACCCCCTAACCCCCACCACCAGTAAAACAGAACAAATTGGTTTATCTTTAAAGGACCGCTTGTTAATGCGCATGTGCTTGGCTTGTACACATAATCCTCTTTGCTTATGTCTTAGACCTTTTCTTATCTCCTCACGGTGCAAGAACACTGTTTTGGATACCCGAACACCAGAAAATTGTCTCTTGAATTCATATATTTATTTTAATACTCACTACTGCTCACTTTTTAAAACTTAAATAGAATCTAGACTACTAGACCATACTGTATGTTGTACTACTATTTTCATGAGGGGTTTCTAATTAAACAAGGAATTTAAATAGCCATAAATTTCTATTTCAACACCAGGGATCTATCTTTAGAGAGAGCAAATCCTCTTCCATCACCTGTTTGTTTCTCATAATACTTTGGAATAAGCAGGTAATGCTCTTTACTAGTCTGATCTTTGCTGGTCTTAATGGCTCACTCTGAATTAGCGGCCAATGCAGTCAAAAATTAATGTGATTAAAATTAATCTTGAGCTCTGATTGTACTAGGATTGGAGAGTTTTGGCATGCGGTTTAGGTCATCATCCATCTAAATAGTTTGCCAAGTAGAAACACAACGGCCCATGTTTGGTGCTAACAAAAGCCAATTTTCCCTCAGGTGGAATAGAAGTAACACATTCAGTAACTGTATGAAATGCTGGCCACTAAGAGTATGTCTTAGATGGCTTAGCCTGGGTTAGAGATGGACTGTAATCCATTGTGTGTTTTGTAAACATGACCGGGGGTAATTGGATTGACTGTACCTTCAGAAAAGAACAGAAAAACTGTCAGGTCCCACTATATGTGACCCTTCGTTATCACATATATAATGTATTTTGTATCACAGACAGATATTAATACCAGGTGTACACTAAAAAACATTAATATTTTATTTAAAATATTTAAAAAAGAATCTTCAATAAAGATCAAATTGCTTGAGAATGAACATTACATAAGATATTAAGAGAATGTATCTTTAATGCAAGCATATTTAGTCTTACAGCATTGGCAGATTTCTTCACTTGTTTTAAATAAAGATATGTGAACAAGTAAAAAAAAAGCTCTGCGGGTGCAGCAAGACAAACTATACTTTTTGTAGTAAGTGAAAACGTCTTGAAATTTTGTGTAAAGTAAGTTTATTTAGCTTTACGGGTTTTCAGATATTTTATCAAGAAAAATAAATAAGATAAATGTACTCAAGATTTTTTTGCAGTGTGAATGGGGCCTAATCACTGACATTAAGGGAATGCAACATATTCATAGTGAAGTCAACAAGAATTCAAAATGACAAATGTTTACTTTATTAATGCACATTCCACAGCTGTCTTATTGTGAGACAGTTCACCAGTGCATGTTATTCCAAAAAGAAAAGTTTGTTTTTGTAATCTTGTAAATTGCTGCAATTTGATAATTTTATCCTCCATGAAAAAATAGCCATTTAGGCAATGTCGTACTACGCAAACTTCAATTCAATGGCTCCATTCTTTTCACCATCCATCCATTTGCAACAATAATTATATTATGAAAGTAGTAGGTTGCGAATAGCCTTTAAATGCAAATTTTTCATGCATATCAGAACCATAAATCCACAACAGAGCAGAGATGGCAAAGTGTGCAACGTGGTTTAAATATTTATAGCCTAGGGATAAAAATAGAGATTATTTACATTCCATTATCATCATGCTTCACTACAGAGGTGCTGTTTGACCAGATTCTTTAACACGAGAATAAGTAGGCTAGTTTCATCCACTTTTTCTTTCCTAAATTAATCAATGTTTTGGACTAATCTGTTAATTAAATGAATGGTTTAATTGCTCACTCAAGACAGTCAATTGTTGCTTGCCGCCCTCTGGCTTAATGATGCAAGTTGCGCAAACGCAGACAAGCAGGGTAATGCAAACAGTGAAAAGTCGAACACTTTCGAAGAAACGTTATTCAAACAAATATATTTATACAATAATAATGGCAATATATTTTATAGGGTGCTTGTGTTGTTAAATTGATCTTATAATTTCCACTGTCTTTGATCAAACAGATTTATTTGATTATTTTATCAAAGTGAAGCGTCACATTGGGATTAGCTTTCGGCTCGCGCTTCTGTGAACAAAAATCCTGCAAGCTTTGATTGGTCTCAAACATTTTGACATCTTGACGGGCAGTTGTTTGAGTGCTGAAGCAGATCAGATGAGAAGGTCAGTTATTGTCGCGATGGGAGAATCACTGCAGCAACAAATTAGAGTTAATATTAGGGCTACGACCCTGACTGGGTGTTTTTTATTCACGAGATTGGATTAGCAACTAAATGATGCGCATCAGAGGGGATTTAGAAGTGGGTATACGCAATGCCGACTGAAAGTATACCTGCACTACACCACTGCTGGTACATCTGAATACTCCTACATGTTCAAAAACCTGTACCCTCATATGAATTGTGATCTATTTCCAAAACACTGAACAGACAACACTACGGATAAAGGGTGCGGTAGAAACTTCTTGGGACCATTTTACTTCCTTCATTAATAGTGGAAAAACAATGACTTTTTATAGCCCACTCACAGAGATTTGGGGGTGGAGTTCTCTATTTGTGTGTGGTGGAGAGGTTTGCAGACTGTTTTTGCTGAGTAATGAGGGATGGTGTTAGTCAGGCAGCTGGAAACAGAAAGCGCGAAGAAAAAGAGGGCAGGAGCAGGAGAAGAACAAAACAAGAGACGCAGAGAAAGGGGGATGATCATATCCATATGGTGGAGCTTGTGTTCTTCACTTCCTGGACAGAGAGAGGGAGACGAAGAGAGAGGCTTGAGGAAGAGAGAGAGAGAGAGAGCTGGGAAGCCAACCAGGAGTGAGAGAAAAACAACTGTAAGAGTAGCACAGTAACCTAGATGATCTGAAGCTGTGAGCATATGACCGGGAGATAACTGTAGAGACAGATTCAAAGCATGTGACCATGATTTAGTTACAATGTTTTTGTGAATGGGAAGGGATGGCTTATTCTGAAGTTCACCGGGAAGGATAGCAAGACAGAACGAAAGAAACTGAAAGTTCCTAAAGTGCTGTGCTCAGGTTCATGCACCACCAATGATGTGTGGTCACTCAGAGGAATTCAGGTTAGTGTTTTCATTTTTTTTCTGCTCTTTCTTCCTCCTCTGCCATCTGGAGCTGTGAAGCACTTCCTTCCATTTGCTGGGGGTCCATACATTCCGATTTTACGCCTGCGTGACGACCCTCGTGGTTTTCCCTTCACAATCATCTTTGTGCATGGAGCGCAGATCTGGTTCTTACCCTAAAGCTTGTTGGCCAAACTCTGGCTGTAGTGAACTATCCTTTACTGGAGTTTGCAGACATCAGCTGAAGTTCTCATAGGGGTGTTGCCTTGCCTTTATGAGGCGGAACCAACCGAGTGCAAAACTATTTGAATTTGTGGGGGTACTACTACACTGCCTTTTTCATGTCTGCCTGATCTGGAGCTGGTGTTTTTTCTTTACTCTTGGTTCCTCTTCTTGACTTGGATGCATTTACACAGAGGATGTTAGCTGCCAGACAATAGGGAGCTTTTGTCAGGGGGAGAGCAGCATGTGTATGGGCGCTCTGTCATGAGCTCTCAAAAGTGGAGTCAGAACAACTCACGAGAGGAGGAGGCCGTTCCTGGATCTGCCCTCTGGCTAAATACGCATCCTGCCTTTGAAACGCAAAACGCACATGTTCATGGGAGGGAAAACTTATTAGACAATGTAAACAAGAAGGTTTTTAGAGGCTGTAATGCTGCTGAATGCTGACTTTGCTCAGTTTCTGAAGAAGAGGGGATGACCGTGTGGACCTGCAGTTTTAGCATCACTGGAGAACAGCAACAGCATGAGATCTTTCACTTAATTTGTATTCAACAGGTCAGATTCAAACCTATTTTTTTTAAATTAGGACACTCTGCTAGAACACTCTTTTGAAAGGACCATGACAGCAGCGACTTGGTACCATCGGGACATCAGCCGTGTGCAAGCCGAAGAGCTGCTGGCCCGTGCTGGGAGAGATGGCAGCTTCCTGGTGAGGGACAGCGAATCTGTACCTGGAGCCTATGCCTTGTGTCTGCTGTAAGTACAACACCTTAATGCTGGAATACACTACATGACTTTTGTATAGATTTGCTGTCTGATGAGTCGACACTGGATACCAAAAGTCAGAGTCAGTCTGCAGATTTCAAGTTGAGCGAAAATCACATAGTGATTGGCACAGACTTAATATTTATAAGCTTCAGACTATGATTCAATCCAGTCAGAGGATATCAGACATGGTTGATATTTTGAGCTGATTTTAGAAAACATTGTTTTTATTCGTCACGCATTTCCTAGCATGAATTTACCCAGAATGAGTTTGGCACCACACCCAGCTGTCTATCCGCAGCACTTCCGGGTGATGCACACATATAAATCGCAATAGTTACCAGGTATTGTGAAGAAGTCAATGAGCTATTATAGCCCTTTTCTATAGTCTGTGCTCGTGAGATGGATTTCACAGCCATGTGTCTGCCTTCCCCATCAGGTTTTAGCAAAATTTTGGCAAGACCTTTCAGATTGTTTAATGCTATCTATCTCAATGCATATGAGCTCCAGGTTATAAAACTGTACAGCAGTCCTTAGGCCCCACTAGTCACCTTTGTTCAGGCCTCGGTTTCCCCTGTTTTTCTCCTGTCTCTGGCCCCTGTAGGAGGGAATAGGCTCCAGTGACCGCACTTCTCTCTCTCTCTACTGCAGCCCACAGCCAGACACATTCCTGAATGCTGAGCCCTCCAGCTTCAACTACTCTCCCACCTTTCTTTCTTTCATTCTCTCTCATTTATTCTATTTTATTTTACTCGTTGTCTGACTCTGGTTCATTCTTTCCCTTGCTCTCACCTCATCTCTTCTCTCTGAAACAGTTCGCATGCAAATCATCTAATCACACAGTCGCAGCACTTCCTCTCAGTGCTTTCTTCTCTTGTTTTAGATTACCTGGAAACAATGAGGTTTCTAAATGTGTCTTCATTGGGATTGGTTTCATATGTGTTCCAGGCTGGCTGTGGCCAAATGTGAATGAGCACAAATTGCGGTGAAAAACCTCTGATTGGCACAGAAAAATGATCTTGTATGATTTGACATACTAATGACCTCAGTTACCACATTAATAGGTGGAACTTTATTTTACTGTGGCCTTTTAATGAGGTTTTACCCTACTTTCATAATTTATAATCCTACCCATGGTGACCATGGAAAGTGTTCAATGCACACTTTGTTTCATTAAAGGTACAATATGTAAGAATCGTTTAATAAAATATCCAAAAATCGCTTGCACTATGTGAAATATTTCCTGTAGTTGTGTACTTACAATATTCCAAAAGTTCCCAAAGATTTTTAATTTCACAGAAATTCCAATTTTAAATAATTGGCCGTCTCAGAATTCCTGTTCACTTGTTGCCTGTCAATAACGTAATATCTGCATTAGCCCTGGTTTCTGTTAGTAGTACTGTCATAGTAACCATGACGACAGATTTGGACAACTGCGTGGTGCGTAAGGTCTATCTGCACGCTGTTGTAGTTTCGTTCCAATTATGGACCATGGCAAACAGACTTTGAGAAAGAAAGGAGAACTAAAACGAGGACCAATATCAGGGTGGCGTTTTCGAGATGAGAGCTCCACATCTGCGACTAACTTTGACTTGACAGAGCTCTTACATGTACTTTATTAGACCAGTGAGCAAATGAACATAAAACTAATCAATGTTATATAGTTCACCATGATGTAATGCTACAATATGATCTGAATGTTATTCTAATGTTTGATCTAGCTTACTAGCCAACAAAATAACACTGAATAAAATTATAATTTAAACACACTCAAATGCTGTTTAGTGTGTAGACCAAGTGAAACAACGCTGCGTTACCTCAGAAGCTTCATTCGTCTAATAAACTGGCCTGTGTGTGTGAGTAATTCAGGACTTGTGGGTAGTTTGGTATAATTAAATGTTCTTATTCCTTTATATCCGCGGGACTCGGGTGTGGCACTGATATCTGTCTCTCATTATCAATCATGCCCTGCTTCATACCACAGTCATGATAAAAACATCAATGAATTCACTCATAAACATCATTAGATCCATCGGCTTGACGACAAGTTCTGAAGCCCACCAGTGTCCCGATATGGCGCTCACATATTGGGACTTACATTTTCGGGACCAGACCTGCGCAGTCGTGAGCAGGAAGTAAAGCTGCGAAATCCAAGGGGGTAATCCATCGACCGGAAGTTGAAGCCTCGTGGGAGCTGCCATCTTTTAGCAGAACTTCACTTGAGTTAGCATTTCCATTGACTCCCATTCATTTTGGCGTCACTTTGACAGCAAAATAACTTTACATCTGAGGCGTTTGAAGACTCCATTTGTCCATTATTTATTTCTAAAGAAACATGACAATGTATAAAATGCTCCATTACCTTGTAGCTTATGTTATGGCCCCGTAGAAGCAGTTTTTTGTAAAAATAGGCTAACGATTGCGTCATAACCAAGCGACTCTCTGTCGCAAAGTAGAAAGATTACCGTATGGACAGGAGGAGAAGCTTGCAGGCAATCGGAGAAACGTGGAGGCAAAATGACAAAATAATTAATCAGAATACCTTGCAAATTCTGGTCACAGATGGATAATTGCAAAAAATATTACTCTTTATATTCATCATTCATCATGTCATCATTTACTCACCCTCATATTGTTCCAAAAATGTATGACTTTCTTTCTTCGGCTAAACACCAATTGAGAAACTTAGCAGAATGTTTGAGCTGCTGTCTTCTGTACAAGCTGTCGAAATCCTAAAAAGGAAAAAGCACTCGCCTATAAATGCACTATAACGGCCCAAATGTGGTCTATATAACTTGTGAACTATTTTTAAAGTTTTATGAAGCCATATGATATCTTTGTATGAAAAATATCCTGTCATTTAGGTTGCTAATCACTTAAAGTCTAGCTTGAGAGTCCTGGTTACCTTTTATTTTCATTGTATGATGAGCAGCAAACATCGTGCCTAATGTTTCCTTTTGTGCTCCATAGAGGAAGACAGTCTCTACATTTTGCTAGACATGAATGTTAATTTTGGGTGAACTGTGGTTTAAAGATTGTATTGTTTTTGATTCAACAGTCTGTCTGTTTTGTACATAGATTCCAGCGACATGTTCATACATACCGAATCCTCCCAGATGCAGATGGATTATTGGCTGTGCAGGTGAGAAGACAAAGGGTCTGCTAATCATATCCTGGCAGGATTACCTTTTAATGAATTTTAAATTTCACATGCAAATTGCTTGACATTCATTTTTACTTTCACTTCTTAAAGAAGCAGAAAAAAAAAGAAGCAGTCTTGTCTGCTGTCTAGAAGCATGCAGTTAACGGGGTTTCAAAATGACCTCAGTGGCATTGCTGTCAATAAGATATTTCACACAGATTCCTCCAGCACCCACGCTTCAGATCCAGTGAAGAATGACTGGAATGGGGTTGTCTGTCTGTGGAGATTAAAATATGTGTGACATAAATGTTTCTGGGCATGCAGCAGTGTGGGTCTTTTGAATACTAATTCTTTACTGCATGGATAAAGCATGTTGGTCTGTTTCATATAGAAACACTCTTCCAAAAGGGTTAGTGTTTTCAAAGGTGACTTTAAAAGTTTCCTAAAGCACAAAATTAATACAATAACACAGACACAACTCATATTATGTTGTTTAAGTATTTCTGTTGTAAAACAGAATCATTTCCTGAATTTTCTCCTCCTCCCAGTGTCTGATTTCTTTTAATCGCTTTTCAAGAGCTGCTCTCTTGGAAGGAAAACATTCTGCTATATAGAGATTTTAGGGGAAATAAACGTTTTTGCCAAAATAGCTTCATTGACCATACTTTGAAAGTACAAGCTTCTAAAAAAACATTCAAAGAGCGGGTTATTTTATTTGTCACGATGCCTGATGGTTTAAGTGTGCGTGTGTGTGTTTGCGTGTGTGTGTGTGTGTGCCCTTGTTTGCACAGTGGGTAGCTGGCCAGTGGCTGTTTGTGGTATGTAGAGTTTGGCAGACGCTAGAATGAGAGCATCACAATATAATTGTATCTTTGGTCCATAAAGCGGAAAAACTTACATGTTTTGGGAGTTACCCTACCTAGACCAATTTCTTGTTGTGGCAAACCTATAAATTCTGCATTTTATGTCTTCCTTTTTAGGATATAGTGTCTCAGATAATTTTTTGGTCACAAGGGACCTATTAACTATGACTTTTGCCTCAATAAATTAATGGCTTATTAATAGTTAGTAAGGTAGTTGAGTAGTATTGGGTTAAGGGATGTAGAATATGGTTATTGAATAAGGCATTAATTTGTGCTTTAACTAATATCCGAGTAATGTTCAAGCTAATAAGCAACTATATATAAAATAATAGTCAGAATTCCAAATATTTGTAGTTAGCAAAAAGTTAGCAAATTCTGAAATGTAAATAAAATGTAAAATATTGTGAAATATAAATAAAATGTAAAAGATTGTGAAAAAGTATAAGATTTTTAAAAGTTTAGGATCTCTCATCACACAATTTGTCAAAAATGTTTTCATGCTTTTGATGATACAATTATTCTTGTCAGTCTTTTACTACTCCACTGTTCCCTTTCCAACCTCTCTTAATCAGGATAGAATTGTGAAATTATGTAATGCACATGTCATATCCTCATGCTGTCCTGCTGTATAATTGATCTGTGAACCTGTTTGCTTTTATGTGTTGGGTTGTGTGTGTTTTTATTTCAGGCCACGCAGGGAGTGCAGGTGAATTGTTTCCGTACTCTTGGTGATTTGGTTGTGGGGTATCAACACCCTCACAAAGGTCTGGTGGCCCCTTTGCTTTACCCTGTTTTGCGTGAATCAGAGCCCAATGATGAGAGCTCAGGTAAGACGGGATAGGAAGCATAGTGGACTCTTTTTAAAATTGACAAATACAAGAATATTTGATATAGATGTTTGTTCAGAAGCTCATAATTTAGAATTGGATATAAATGAAAAATCACTTTTTGAAGTAGTCAGATCGCAGAACGCAGTAACAGTGCACCTGTGAATGATTCACAGTCCAAAACAAACCACTAGTTTGTGGCTGCTACATATATATTTTTTGATTGGTTCATCAAAAAGAAGCGGTTCAAATGAGTCATTTGCGAATCGTCATGGCTTAAAGGGATACTTTAGGGATACCCAGAGTTAAACAGTTGAGTTTCACCATTTTCAAATGCATTAATTTTCTGATATTTAGAAGAATATCAGTAACCAGACAGTTTCTGGTCTCATTGACCTTCATAGTAGGAAAAAAAAATAGATTATGGAAGTCAATGAGACCAGAAACTGTCTCGTTACTGATATTCTTCAAAATATCAGATAAATCGGCTGGATGGATTCGAAAACGGTGAAACCCAACTGTTTAACTCGGGGGGAGTAAAGAGTATACCTTTAAGCTATGTTTGTCGTTGCTGAAAATTCTTTGGTGCGGCGCTGATATCTGGTGAAAGCGCAGGACTGATAAAGTTTTCTTGACTAGATTTAAACTCTTTGTCAAACATTTTTATTTTTTGTCGCATTTGCAACCATTTAATCCACAGCCTGCAGTCCCGTTAGCAAAGTGTATATTATGTTTTGTGTGATATTTTGCTGTGACACAGTTCTACCCACAGACATTCAAATTTTCTAAAATTCTCTTCTCGTTGAAGATGGTGACGATGAGAAGCCAGGTTCAACATTTGCCACACCTCCACCACGAGCAATGTCCCCTGCAGGCCACCCTCCACCCTCCAGTTCAGCAGCCGCTCATTTACTTCTGCAGAGGCTCCATGAGCTCCGCCCAAATAGGTACATTCATTCACACCTAACCAATCAGGTTTCATCAATATCAAACTTTTGGATCACATCACAAAACACTGACTGTGCTTGTAAAGAAATATGTGAACACTATTGCCACTTTTACAGCTCATTGTACCAATGTTTACCTTTGCAGTTTAGGCTGCGAGATCATCCCATTACTAGATGAGTATCTGCATGGCAATGTGTGTAAGGACCTGGAGAATGTGAAAGGGGGAGCGTTAGGACTGCAACACTTTCAGTGTATCCTCAGCCGTGCTTGTGAGAGTCTGCACAGGTGCTGTTTCTCTATAACTTCACATGTCCTTTTACACATTGCTGCAATTATTTGAAAGAAGAACATTTGAAAAATGACTGTTACATGTCCTGGCAAAATGTTGTCCCTGATTTGTTTTTCACAGTGAGATTGACCAGACACTGTCAAGTTTGGAGACTTTGGCGAAAGTGTTTGATCATCCAATCAGCCATCTCACTTTTCCCACAATGCAGGTACATCCCATTGTAGTTTTACACATATATAAGGCTAATATAGTGAGCTACTATTTTTAATCAGTCCTATATCTTTAGTTTAAGAAGTTTGCTTCACACGCAATATTTTTTATAAAGGATTGTACAATGTGTGGCTGATATGGAACCAGAACAACAGATTCAAAGTTTTTTTTTACATGTTCAAACAGGAATGGGATCTTTACTGGTGGTCTTTGCAAAGATAAACAACACCATTACTATTGTATAATTTTTACTATGTACTACAGACATTGCTCAAATCATGCAGCTTGTTGAGGAAAGGTTTCCGATTACCTTTCCAAGTAATCTGACTGACCTTTTCGCTGGTGGATGTTTAAATCAGGTGAAAAAATCCCTTTAGACCAATGGTTCTCGACATTATTTATTTCAAAGTCCATCATCGTCCTACACAATATCAATTGATTTTCATTCAGTATTCATTAATTCGTCTGATATTTATACCGCAATTATGATAAAGTTGCTTGTTTTCAAACTTTTTTATCAACAGAAACTGGGGGTGTTATATTAATTAACAACAATTTATTTTGTGTTTTTAGGAAAGACTATAGTTTACTGTATATCCTGATTGTATGTTTTTATCATTTAAATTAACATATATTATTTTAATATATTGATAAATGTCAACCAATTGTGTTATTATTATTAACATATAAATTATATATATAAATATAAATATATATATAAATATTAATTAATTTTAAATCATCCTGAGGGCCCTTTGAACATTTTCTGAGGCCCCCTAGTGGGCTCCAGCATAATGCACAAACCTATAGACTTGTGTATAGGTGATTTCTGCATGAGCTAGCATTGCAAAGACAACAATATCTTCCAGGAAGCATGTTTTGGGTCTATTGCTCTGCTTCTCCACCTTTTCCTTATACATTCCTGTTTTCTCATTAACTCTCTCTTCAATAGAATAAAGGAACAAGTCCTGAAGAAAATATGGACCATCTACTTCACAAGCTTACTACCCTCTGTAACCTGCTGTCTTCTCTGGAGAAGAGGGTAGAAACATAAGCAAAAGCACACACAAACCACATACATGTCATCTTTCAGTATTTCTTGTAATAATGATAGCAATGGCATGTCTTTTTCAGGTTCTCAAAGCTTTGCAAGAAGCTGTAACCAATCACAACTTATCTTTGCAACCAGCCACTCCTCCTGAGGCAGTAACAGCTAACAAAAAGCATGCCCGACCCAATCCCGCCCACAGCTTTCAGGTAGCACAATGCCTATATGTTCTTCCTCAAAGGGCTAATATTTTAATTGTGCATTTATTTATGTGCATGTGTTTGAATGTCAAGGTCAAGGTGGTCAGGTATGGCAGGCAAACAGTGTCGGTAGATATAGATGCAGGAGTGCTGCTATTTGACAAGAAGTCTGGCTCATTTGGTGTGGAGACTGTCACACACAGCAGAAGTAAGTTAACCTTGCCTTGAAAACATTACGTACTTTAGTCTCTATTATTATAATGCAAGGCTAGTAAATGCCATCTAATGCTTGTTTTAGTCGTGCAGTTGGTAAAGTTTCAGAAAGGCCCTGCCAAACTGAAGATGGTCGTTGACAGTCTTCACAACCCACCGAGAGAACTGGTGTTTGAGAGCTTAAAGGTGAGAGGACAAGAAGACTTGAATTGGCTCATCTTAAATGTCCTAAATCTAAAGTACTGATGTATCTTCACTAGAAGCGTGAAGCCTTCTGTCGCCTGCTGCAGCTTATGAAGGCTGCTCACTCTCAGCAGTCTGAGCTTGATGTCATCTCTGTGTTTGTGGGCACCTGGAATATGGGTATCAATATACAATATATAATATATATATTTAGTCATGAAAAATATTATGGCTTGAAATATAAAGATATTTTACTGTTGTATCTGTATTTTGCCTGCAGGGGACAGTCCACCACCTGCTTCATTGCAGACTTGGGTTACTTGCTGTGGTCTGGGTCTCACCCCAGATGAGTCCATTGCCTCTCTGCCTCATGATATATATGCAGTGGGCACTCAGGACAACCCGCAGGGCGAGAGAGAGTGGGTTGAACACATCAGAGCCACGCTTCGGAGTGCAACCAACATCGAATTCAAACAGGTCTAACATTATAAAAAATCTAAATCTTCATAGACCAGAATAATGTGTTTCTTCTTCTTAAGTGTTTATGTATCTCTCATTACTCGTTTGACTAGATTACATTTGAGGGTGTTGTAATGGTGTTTTCTCCTGCAGGTGGCAGTACAGTCCCTTTGGAATATCAGACTGGCTGTGTTTGTAAAACCAGAGCACGAAGGATGCATCAGTCAAGTTAACACGGCTAGTGTAAAAACTGGACTGGGGAACACGCTTGGTACAAATCTTATTTTGGTAACACTTTAGAATACTGTATCTTACTTACTGCAGAATTAATAAGGAATTATTGATGAACTAATAGGTAATTCTTCATTAACTACTTCTTCACTACTGTTAACTACTAAGGAAGATGTGTTAACTAATCAGTATGTAATATAATTTTATGATTGTGTTAAGTATCAGTTAGTTAATCAATAAATAATGAATTCTGTCATACCTCCTGAAGAACTACTACTAATTATCTACTAATTAAGGTTCAAGAAAAATAACTAAGAAGTAACTACTGAACAGTCATACAAAACTAACCTCATATTATTTGTATATTTTATATACAGTACTGTGTGTGTCTGTTTTCCTCAGCATAGAATGCCACTGAGTAAATTCATGTATTTGAGGCAACGACTGAGGGAAACTGAAAATATAGAGAACTTATTAGTAATTAATAAATAAGTATCAAATAATTCTGCAGGAATTACTTAGAAGCTGGAACAGTATTCTAAAGTGAAAATACAGGGAACCCATTAGTAATTAATAAAAAATGATCACATAATTATCTTGAAATTAGGCTACTTATAATCTGAAACAGTCTTCTAGAGTGAAAATATAAGGAACTTATTAGTAATTAATAAATAACTTTTTAATAGTTCTTCAGGAATTACTTAGAAGCTGGAACAGTATTCTAAAGTGACAATAGAGGGAACCCGTTAGTAATTAATAAATAATTATCACATTAATTATCTAGGAATTAGGCTACTTATAACCTGAAACAGTCTTCTAAAGTAAAAATATAAGGAACTTATTAGTAATTAATAAATAATTATTAGGTAGTCCTTCAGGAATTACTTAGAACCTGAAACAGTATTCTAAAGTGACAATATAGGGAACCCATTAGTAATTAATAAAGAATTACCACATACTTCTGACTCAAATCAAACTTACTGTAAATAAAAAAATATTAGCCTATATATATTAACGTAATCATCTAAACCTTTGTAAAATACACGACAGTTACTTGCGACAAAGGCGAAGAGAAGTGAAAAAGGCAACAGTGGCAAGGAACCAAAACTCCATCAGGTGACAGAATGGAGAAAAAAAACCTTGGGAGAACCCAGGCTCAGTGTATGTGGCTACCGCGATATTGCCGGAACTTGAATGGTGCAAAAGAAGTTTAAAATGTATAAGAAGTATAATAATAAGGTGTAATATACATGAGATGTTTTTGCTTATTTGCAGATCATAGTCTATAGGTAAATGTCTGCACTTATTTTTCTTATTAGTGCTGAAGAATGACAAACTGACGACTGTGTATGACTGTTAATTAGTAGTTACTTCATAGTTATTTTTCTTGAACCTTAATTAATAGATAATTAATAGTAGTTCTTCGGGAGGTATGACAGAATTCATTAGCTATTGATTAACTAACTGATACTTAACACAATCATAAAATTATATTACATACTGATTAGTTAACACATCTTCCTTAGTAGTTAACAGTAGTGACTTAAGTGTTAATAAAGAATTACCTATTAGTTCTTCATTAATTCCTTATTAGTTATGCAGTAAGTAAGATACAGTATTCTAAAGTGTTACCCTTATTTTTTAAAACAAACAAACACTCTTACTAATGAACTAACTCTCCTTTCCCGTCTTTTCTCACCTCCTTTGTATTTTGTAGCCAAGGAAAACCAAGTGATTAATAAATATGATAGGAATAATTTGTTTTGTTTCGGTGGTTACAGGAAATAAGGGAGCAGTAGGAGTTTCTCTTCTCTTTAACGGGACCTCAATGGGCTTTGTGAACTGCCATCTGACTTCTGGTAGTGATAAAGCACTCAGGTATTCACATATATTTAGAGCGGTGGATCTCAAACTTTTTCAGGTGGCAGACCACTTTAACAGAAAAGCAAATTGCAGACCACATAGCATACCACATAACAGCCCAGCATTTGTGTAGATATTATCTTTCAGGATGGAATACACTATATGACTTTCAAAATCTGAACAGTTTTTAAAACATGATGTCATACACTTTCTGACTTTGTAAATGGTTTCAGAGGAAAAAACTGGGCATAATATAGTAAACAAGGATCACAACCTGTCAGATATTAAGGTCGTTCAGAACACAAATTTGTGGCGAAATATTCACATAAAATTGGACCAATCTACATTTTTATTTAACTATTATATCCATCTTGAAGAAAAAAGAATTGATTGACTAACTTTTAAGACTAGTCTAAGTAGTTTATACAACGGTTTAAAAGTTTGAGCTTAGTTAGACTTTTGTAAAGAAATTAATACTTTTATTCAGCAAGGACTCATTGAGTTGATCAAAAGTGACAGTAAAGACTCACCAAGTTCTTTTGAATATTCTGTTCATCAAAGAATAAAAAAAATGTGAACATTAATAATAATAATAATAAATGTTTTCATACACTCTAAACAATGCTGGGTTGTTTGAAACCAAATTTGGGTAAAATATGGACAAACCCAAATATTGGGTTAAAAATGTATTACTGATCTCAAGCTTTTGAATGATAGCTTAAGTGAGAGTGTCAATTTTGCATTGTTCCTCTTTATTTTCTTAGGAGGAACCACAACTTCCAAGACATCCTCAGACTTTTGTCTCTTGGAGAAAAACAGCTCAGCACTTTTGACATTAGCCTTCGTTTCAATCATCTCTTTTGGTGTGGAGACCTCAACTATCGCCTGGACCTGGATGCACTGGTTACACAGCTTATATCTGCTTTATTTCTGTGTAGAAATTAGTCACTCCAGCTTTACTTATTCCTGCTCACTGATCTATAGCCATTCTAACATTGCTCCAAGGAGACCCAATTAAGGGCATTGAATCACTTGTATCATATATTGAAGGTTTGCTGTCTCTGAACAAGGCCTCTCTTTTACAGGACATATTGAAGCATGTTTCAAAGCGAGAATATGAGGAGCTGATGTGTGCTGACCAATTGACTAGAGAGCGGCACAAAAGAAAGGCCTTTTTTAACTTTAGTAAGAACAGCGGCTGCTCTTCCACTCCCATGGACAAACTTGGTTACACAGCAGTTACACAAAAAAATGTGGGCCAAAAAAACAAAAAACAAAACATTAACAGATACGTTATTTCTTGCTCTTTCTGTTAAGAGGAGGAGAAGATTTTGTTCCCCCCCACCTATCGGTATGAACGTGGTTCTAGAGACTGTTATCTGTGGCAGAAATACAAGTCCAGTGGGGTAAGACTTTCTATTTCATTTATTCTGTTGCTTCAGTTGATACTGAAATTGCTCAAACATCCATTTTACACTCTAAATACCATATGAAACAAAATCTGTAATATGATTGGGATGATCATGTGTGACAAGACAGATTACAGTTACTAATTTTAATTACTAATTTTGTGTTTAAAACTATATATACTTTATTTAGGTGCAAGTCAATGGGCCCTCATGGTGTGACAGAGTCCTGTGGAAGTCCTACCCAGAGTCTCACATAACCTGTACCTCATATGGTATATTTCATTTCTTTCACTTCTTATTCTCAAATGTTTGTCAAATCATATAACATAGAAATGATGTAGCAGCTGCAGCTATAATGTTTTGTAGTGTTTTTAGCGCATTAACATCTATTAAAAATACATGAAGTGGTTAGATAAACTCCTTTGTTGGTTTGCACTCTAGCTTTAGGGGAGAAATTAAAACACTGGACTGCTATTTTTGTAGCATTTTGGAATGGGATGTGTGTAGCTACTCTGCACAGCAAAGATTTACTTTGGATATGATTGTAGGTCTGTGGTCAATGATCAGAGTCATATCCTGTCTGTCTGTCTGTCTGCCCCAAAACGTGAATTTAGTCTCCTCAGTGAAATTATGCCAGTGTATATATGATCACAGCCAACACTGACCAAATGCATTGTATTTTATAACTACCACACATTAGTGTTTTAATTAACTTTTCAATGGCAGAATTTGATGTGATGGGAATTTGATGTGAAATTCAGAGGATGGTTTGTATGCAAATCCCATTAAGAAACCAATTGTAGCATTAAGAATTGAATGAATTTTGTAAGCATGTAGGGAAACTGTTGATAAGAACAGAGATTATAGAGTTGAATGAATGGACTTTGAACCTATAGGTTGGACTTTTTGGCATGTTTATTAAAATCTTAGGCCCTGTTTACACTATAAATTAGCAGCCATATCACCCTAGCCCAAGACTGCTTGCCCACTGAAGCTAAGCAGGGCTGAGCCTGGTTATTACCTGAATGGGAGACCTCCTGAGAGGTTTTCTTTCTAAAAGACGTTTTGTGGCCTCAGCTTCATAATAATCTGTAAGGAAAGCATGCAAAAATCCTTGCTTAAATTGTTCCCAGGTAATCACATGTCTTTTCTCAGCCAACCACCAGTCTTTAGCCGTAGCACAGAAGTATCTGTGAGAATCTGTGAGGGGTCTAATTGCAAAACTTTTCCAAATCTTGAATAGTCAACTCAAGGCTCTGCTTAACTCTTCCACATTCCGTTTTAATTTTGTAATTCAGTTTTACTTCCAGATGTTTACACTGATTGCTTACCTTGTTTTGTGAGCAACATTGACTTAATGTTTGTAGGCGTTTGTACTTCTCCCTCCAGTTTTGTAACTCGCTCAGTCAGCCCATGACTATACTTTTGAAACTTATGTGAAATGTACATCAGAAATTTGGAGGAGGAGGCAAGAGAATGTCAGGTTGATCAACACACATATTTTCATTATCTGAGTCAAGATACAGTTAACTAAAAATGTTTGTAAGATCTCTTAGGGGAGGTGGGTCTCTTTTAGTCACAAACGGACCAGCAGTGAAATCGTCATGGGGTTCATACTCATCTGCACCATGTGATGTTCTATAACACATACACCTTTCATATTAGCATACACCACAAGGGTCCCCATACGGGCCACCAATATATAACATTACCATATAACATTATTCTCTGCACTGGTTGAGCTACATTTTATAAGGCTCACCTTGTTTGTAAAACTCAATTGGTCTCAGTTGAAGAATGATCATAAACGCTTATAAGAATAAGTGGAGGATTGATTCCTTCATATATTGTATTCAAATTTACTCATTCATTAACCAATGCAACTCAATATATCATATCATGGAACATACACCTATATACAGATACAGACTTCAGACAAGAGCCACAATACAGGTGGTTATTTCCGAATGTCCAACACCATCCTCTGTGATTCACAACCCCAACAGTTCCAAAAATTAAAGAAATAGTCTTTTCTGTGGTTCGATCACGTGTGCATAGGTGGCTGGTTATAACCTAGTAGGTTGTCCAGCGGTTAGTTGTTTGGAGCGTCATAAGATTTCCCAGCAAACGGATCAGAACAATACTTCAGCAGTATAAGCAGGGGTCTGGTCATAAACACTTAAAACTATCCACATCTGATGAGCAAAAGTTACATTCCACTAAAACCACATTAATCAATTACATAGATTCCCCAACAGTTCACCCAAATAATTGTATTGTATAAAACAAATATTGAAAATTGATTGTTTGGTTCTGTTCATCAGGATGCACAGACAACATCTTCACTAGTGATCACTCTCCTGTTTTTGCAACTTTTGAAGTCGGTGTAATATCACAGTTTCCCAGAACAGGTATGGAGTCCTTTCAGCTTGTGTCTCTGATAATGAAGTTTTTAACCTTTAGGTCATTTCATAACTCAAGGAGTTATATTAAGGGTTGCTGAACATGCATTTCATTAAGGAACCACCATTTCCCTTTACCACTAAACACATATTTTTCAAGGCTGGTTCATTTTAACAGCACCAAGATGAGAAAGCCCTAAAACTGTTTAAGCTTTTAGAAAACAAGGGTTAGTGGACCCAAAAAGTTAACTTCTGTCATGAGTTACTCACCCTTATGCCATTCCAAATATTTGAATAAAACCTGAGAGCTCAGAACAAACATCAGTGGTTCTCACACATCAAGCAATCACATTATCTTATTTGATGTGTTTGTTCTATGTTCTTTGATCAGTGTTTATTGAATAAAAGCCTAAAATAAATCTGTTATTTTTCAACATCTTTATGAACCTTTTGACACATCAAATTTTTAGTGTAATGGACTTCCAATTGAGAGACAGAAATCTCTCACATTTGATTAAAAATAACTTTGTGTTTTGAAGATGAACAAAAGTCTTATTGCATTTGTAACACTTGAGGGTGAATTAGGAAAATAATTGTATTTTTTTATCTAACCCTTTAACTAATACATATCAGCTATCAAAATAGAGCAAATATTTTTTTTTAAAATTGAATATTTGTTTACTGTTTCACTTAGTGTCATAACCATGTCACAGTCATTTTTTCTATCTCTGTGGATGTAGACTCAGGTTCAGAGAGAGCCAGTATTGAACTGGAGGTGATTGAGGCCATAGTGAAAACTGCTAGCAAGGCCAAGTTTTTCATCGAGTTCCACTCCCGCTGTCTAGAAGGTATAAGGTATCGTTTGTGCAATCAGACTAGCGATCATGCAATGCTTTGTTGCTAGTCTGTTTTCTTTTGAAAATGTCAGGAAATCATGAGATAATTGTGACAGTTCTTTTTTTGTGACTTTATGCTTCTCCTTCTGTTTAGAGCCTCGCCGTTCTGCCGAGAATGACTCACAGTGCTGTGAGGTGCCAGGGTTTCTCAAACTTTGCTGGTCTTCCAAACAGTTTCCCAAGGTTGTGATAGAGTTCATTTGGCTCAGTGTGATCATTTGAAAGGATTTTACCATTTTGGTTGGGAAATCAATTATCTCCTTTGCCTCTCCCTTTTTTCAGTTCCACCCAGTTCTCTCAGATTTAGAGCATCTCCGGGATAAGCACTTGCTGTTGTCTGTGAAGTCATGTGACGGCTTTGAGTCATATGGTAAATGGTCAAGCTCATTATGTCTGTTTAAATGAAATTCCTCTGAAACAGTGGTTTGTTTTTTTTAGTAACCATTACCTCATAACAAACTACATAACACATACTCTTACTTATGGTGAATTAAGGGCACTTTGTTGAACTCCTTAACTCTGTTGAATCATTGTGGTCATATTGATTTAATATGTAATGGGAGTTATGCCATTACAGGCGAGTGCTGTGTGCCTCTTCGCTCGGTAACAGGGAAATCATCGGATCCATTTGAGACATGCTTGACTCACAGAGGAGAGGAGATGGGGTCTATTAGAGGACGAATCAGGGTCTATGTACCACCAGACCGACGAAAGATCCGGGAAAGGGTCTATGGTGGGTTAACCACATGGCCTTACGATAACACCTCTTTACATATGCCTGGACACCTTTTCCCCTTAAATTTCTTCCTGCTTTAGTTCCTCCTCTACTTTGGATCTGTTTTTACTTTTCTATTTATCATAGCTTCCTCTTTTGGCTCCCTGCTGCTTGATCTTGTCCAGATGCACCCTGACCTTCACTGAAATATGACTCTTAAATTGATGCACACAAAACATCCAGTGGCTCTGCCATAGACATCTACAAAATTTGAACAGTTTGTCACGAGCCATGTCTTCTGCACATTACAGAGTGGCTCTGTATTGAGAAGGATGATAAGGAAATGACGAAGGACCAGTTGCCTCGCCCTTCGTCCAGTTCATTCCCCTTCCAGTGAGTTAAAAATAAGCCCTAAGCTAATATTATTTACTACATCTACGGTAAAGCATTTTTATTAACACACTTCCACTATCCTTTTCCATTGGATGACTTAAACTTCATGTTCCCACTATAGAGCACCATCAGCCCCGTTTATGGCAGCTCCAAACAGCTACACCAATCCTGCATATTTCATCTTTGAGGGGTTGCCTGTGTTGCAGAGAGTCGAGGAAATTCCCTCATCCAGCAAAGAATCACAATTAGTACGGGCCGAAGACAGCGTGATACAGCTCCCTAGAGTGACTGGAGGTCACAGCCATGGCAAAAGGTCTGCTCGGAGATCCGACTTCACAGAGATTGATATTCCTGGCTCCTTAGCACCCTATAAACCATCTTGTGAGACTCAAAATGAACTGTCATTGACTGCGTCCTCTTATCAGCTTTTCCCAGGTCCAGATGTTCCTACATCCCCAAATAAGAGACACACTTCTTCCTCAAATACATCTTTACAGTTAGAGTCCCATAAGATCAATATGAGACAGGGCCCGGTGTTGTCAGAGAAAAAACTTACAAACTCCTACATGAACCATTCAGTTTTTTCCTGGGACGTACAGACACCGCTCAAAGAAAAAGCCAGAAAGGACTATCACAGGCTGCATCAAGGCAGGCCCATGCCAATGCAAAATGGACCAAACCTAAACCCCTATGTGTCTACAAGGGTTCCCGTCCATGAATCCTCTGTACCCTGGATTGTAGAGCAGCCAACTACAGCTTCAGGAGACAACTCACTAACAGCTCTCCAAATTGCTAAATCACTAAGTGAGGTGGATTTTCAGCCAGTAGACCGAAAGTACCAATTTCATGGAAAGTCGTCTCAGCAAAGGCATCATGGGTATGATTATGGTTTAGCTAATGAAAGAAACTACAGCTGGGAGAATGAGGTGAGCTGAGTGGTTTCCAGTTATGGATTACATTGTTCAGTAAACCGTAAATATGGACTTTAGGATTAGCTTTCTAGTTTAGCTTTGATAAATACAAAGCCAATGTGTGTCTGCAGGTGTCAGTCTTACATGGAGCCCCAGAAACAGTGCGGGAGCTGCTCAGTAGTCTGGGTTTGCAGCGTTACACACTGGACCTCAGCCGCAATGGTTGGGACGATCTTGATTACTTCAGGTAAGATTGATGTTGATGTGATGTGGTGAAAAATTTTAAATAGGTTGTCTTCCTCAATTTCATCTATTCTTACTGCTTTGTGCTTTAGTTAATGACTCTACACTCTAAAAAATGCTGGGTTGTTTTAACCCAACTTTGGGTCAAATATGGACTAACCCAGCCGTTGGGTTAAATTTTTACATTACATTTTTAACCCAACATTTCGGGTTTGTCCATATTTGACCCAAAATTGGGTTAAAACAACCCAGCATTTTTTAGAGTGTAAGTAGCAATGGTGCTTTGTGAACAAATACATTGTCAAAAGTTTGTTCATTTGTCCTGCAGTGGTATTACAGAGGAGGAGCTGTGTACAGCGGGTGTGTCTAACCCATCTCATCGACGAAGAATCTTGGAGAACCTTCCCAAGATCTGGGACTGAACACAAAGAGCCTGAGGTGTCATATCAGGGGACCATCAATGACAAGTTCAATATTTGCATTCCTACATCTTTTTTTTAGTCTCCTTTGTAATTTAGAAAATGTAATGCCTTTCATAAAACAGCTGATCAGACCAAGTCTTCACTCTCTCCCTGTGGTCCTAAACATACAGTGTGGAATAAACTAAAGTCCAATACATGCTTCAAACAATCCAAACAAATCATATATATTACTAAAACACAGACTCTTTAATTGTTGAGCGTCTTGATACTTATACATAGATACTGTCAGCAAAGTCCTATCCTTGTCTTATCTAAGCATTAGTTGTTAAATGTTACTTTGTGGTTCAGTACCACATTTGGTGACTGTAACACAGCTTGCCTATATCCCATGTTTTAAGCCTAGTTCCTGTATTTATTGATAAGAGACCCCAAGCTATATACTACCTTCTAAAAGTGCATAAACAAACTGTTTATGCACTTTTAGAAGGTAGTATATATTGGGGTCTCTTATCAATAAATACAGGAACTAGGCTTAAAACAGGGATCCTTATCAAGGAGTCAGCTGGTCCTTTTAAGAGGAATACCTATTTTAGTGTTTACCCCAGGGATTTAATTGCTATTCTCCCCTTTACTTAAGGAGATAAGCTCATGGAGGTTTAATGCTTACTTGAACAAATATAATAATTTTCAGTGTAGTCTTATTGCTGGATCAACTGTAAATATTACCTTCAAAATTAGGTAACAGAATAATAACTGTTCACATTTGTTTTCTGATCATTGAAAGTAACCTGATTTTCCACAGAGATTGAATACAAAATGTAAAATCAGTGTGTATATGCCATTTTATTTGCTTTTTATTCTTATCAAACTGAACTATTAAGGCAAACTAGCTATGCTCTAATTTATGACGTTAATTTGATGTTAAGTGCATTCTCCCACTTCCACAGCCTCCTCTGTTTAGCCAAATAGTGCTTTATACTTGCATTTATATATTTGTAATTTGACAAATTATGAAATATTATCTTTGGATTATAATGATGGTTTTATAAAGTCACAGAAAAAAAAAGTGATTAAAGGGTGTTTTTGAATCTAAGTCAAATACTACTTCTTTGTTATTGCCAGCCAATATGATGGCGCTACTGCAACACACATCGCCGCAGCTGAGTAGGCCTAGCTAGCCTATCTCTTCATCAAGCCAACACACAAACTATCACAAATAAAACGGAAAGTCGCAGACACTCAACACACAATCATCTTCATTAAAAATAAAGAAACTAAATTATCTTATTACCAGTGCTGTTGCACACTTGCACTCACTTCTCTTGCGGCCTTTGATTTTGAAATTAGCTGATAATCAATAAAATGCTACTGTTGCCTTCGGTGATGTAAACTTATAGCACGGGAATTGAAGATCGGTTTTATATCCGTTTTGCAAAAACACATTTATGTTTGATCAGCTGTAAACAGGCCCCAAGACAATGAGTTTGCATCTGTAATGACATCAACATGTCCTAAAAATGTCCATAGACATGTCATAGATAGATAGACAGACAGACAGACAGAGTGAGAGAAAGAGATAGAAAAAAAGAGAGAGAGAGCTGATGAAAGTGCAGCATGAGTTCATATCCTTGTGTGGTCTCTGTTGGAGAATGCATCTGTGAGTCTGGTTATTACATCATCTTAGCTTATCACAAATACACTTCTTTATTCTTTCCACTCTCTCTCTCTCAAAAAAATGTCCTTCCAGTAGTGGCTGATCTGGACTCTTTCTATCTTTGTCGTGATGAAAATGAAAGTGGGTGGAGAATAGGTGTGTGTATTCTGCACTAGCTTCCCGGACTTCACCTGTCAGTCATTAGATTATCATGTAGGCCAGAGATGAAGAGTGAATCTGAGCTGTATTTCCGGTGACCAGTTCACATTACTGAGTCATTGTCCCACTCAAATTCCAGAACAATGTATGCACTTTCTCGTAAGTCCCTCTTGGACTAACCCTCAGGTCAGCATTGCAAAGGAAGTGGGTCTTACCGTACCAACACCACAAACATGCAAAAATTATTGCATGAAATATTGCATGACATGACGTAAATTGTATTTTAATATGCTTTTATTACATCACTGGTGTCAGCAATATCGGCAACAAGACTATAAATCCTGATTTAAGTCAAATGGATTTGAAAACTATTTAACATATTATTTAATCACAAACTACTCAGTTTATTACTGTAGCCAACATCATAAAGCCATTGTGTGAATATTCAATGTGAACTTTAACTCAGAGAGGCAAAGCAGTCATGCACCCTGTTATGGCACTCTAACTGATCACTAGCAGATAAAGGTCTCTCTTGCAGTAACCTTTTGGCCTGTTCATTTAGCTCTTCAATGTTCATGGTAGCCTGCCCTAGTTAAACAGTAAACACAGATCATATTATTTAGTATTTACCATCACATATGTGTAGTCTGATATAAATGTGTGTGTTACTGATTATTTTGAATGTAGGCCTAAATGTTGCTAAAGAATCAGTTCTGGCAAATGAGCGTTAGCTTCTGTGATAAAATCTTACACTTCCAACACTTCATTGGTCAAATAGGAATGCGTTTTAACTTTTTACAAAATTTAGTCTACAAAACAAAAATAGCCTATGCATAAACTCCTCTAGAATGTTTGGGAAGCAAGTAAAACATTTTTTAATTTTATTTTATCAGATGAAAAATACTGTCACTTCTTTGTTCATTTATGTCACGTGGTGCTTGCTAAAAGTGAAATTAAATTAAGGAAGTATCATACAACCATCTAAAATATCCTGGAATCAAAAGATTAAGAGTATCTGGTATAAAACAGAAAGACAACAGTACAATGTTTGCTTTACAAAGTGTCCTATAATTTAGGCAGGCTACCTTCAAGGATTTTATCACTTATGAGAGCCAACATGTTTAAAGGGCATGAGATGAGCTCCGACTGTAAATTACTAGTGTCTGTTTGATGGGCAAAGATGGCAGAAACTGATAAGGCGAAGGTATGATACTGTATCCTACTGGGGTAATTTTAAGCTATATTCACCTTTCAGAAATTAGAAAGAGTTCCTCCAACTTATTTTAATATTGTGGTCGGTTTCTCGTGGTATTTAGGAAAGGTGATGAGATATTAATAGCAGTCAAAACATGAAAGTTGGTGGATTCGTCTTCACTGTCGAAGCGAAGCAGGAAGAAACTAAATTTGGCGCCGATCCCCCGCCCCTCAACTCACGCGCTCATCTAGCAACTCCTGCGCTCATATCAACTCGAGCGCTCACAATCCGTTAAGTCTGGATGCATAAATCTCTTAAACAGGCTAAATGGTTTTAACCATTAGCGTCAAATTATTATCTACGTTCGTATTTTGACCTGTGAAGGGAGTGGGACATGTTTACCTTGTTCTGCTGAGTGAACGGTAAGTTTTAGTGTGTGGAAACAGTTCCGCGTGCTCCCCTTTTTCTCTATTTCTGAAAGATTTACCCATCATGTGCCTATGTGTACAGTTGTGTGAGAGAGTTTGTGATTGTTTTTGTATTTCGTTTTGTGATTTATTATTAAGTGTAATATGTTTGAAACGGGATAGTTTACAAGATATTATTTAGGTGCTAGAGTTAATATATATTTGACTATTGTCTAAACTCCTGAAGGTGAGTTAAAATGACACTTGTTGTGAGAACAAAAGTTTATTCTTTCTCGACACTTTTAAGTAGTTCATGTGATTTTATAGCTTGTGTTTTGACAATGTAAAACATTGCCTTGAAATCTTTTGTAAATTGCTTTACAATTAAATCTATTTTATCATGTGTTTACCTATAATATCTCCGAAGTTTCTAAAATTGCTTTATATATATATATATATATATATATATATATATATATATATATATACACATACACTTTTTTTTATTTTAACAGAAATGAATTCGTTTTCAAGGAAAGGTGTCTCAGGGAATTTGTCCCATCCTGCCACTACACTGATACCGATGTCTTCCAAGGAAGTGAATTTTAGCTGCCTCTTCAATGAGGATTTCAAGTATATTCTGCTACCTGTATCATACTCACTGGTGTGTTTCCTGGGACTGATACTGAACTCTGTGGCTCTGTGGATGTTTATCACTAAGATGAGGCCCTGGAAACCCAGTACAGTCTATATGTTCCACCTCGCCCTGTCAGACACACTTTATGTGCTCTCCTTGCCAATGCTCATATACTACTACGCAAACCGCAGCCATTGGCCTTTTGGTGTTGTCCTCTGTAAGCTTGTGCGGTTTCTTTTCTATGCCAACTTGTACTGCAGCATCCTTTTTCTCACTTGCATCAGTGTGCACCGCTACCTTGGCATCTGTCATCCTATTCGTACTCTGACTATGGTGAAGCCACGTCATGCCCACATGGTCTGTGGTTTTGTCTGGACGGCAGTGATAACCTGCTTGGTGCCCAAGCTGATTTTCGTCACCACTTCTCAGAGGGGCAATGACACTTTGTGTCACGACACCAGCCGCCCAGATGAATTTCATAACTATGTTACCTATAACTCTGTGGTAATGGTGCTGCTGTTTATTCTGCCATTTCTGGTCATCGTGGTTTGCTACTGTTTAATGGCGCGGGCCCTTTGCCAACCCAGAAAAGGCCTGTCCCAAAGTCAACAGAGTTTATCCCGGAGGAAGTCCATTAAACTTATCATATTGGTGCTGGTTGTGTTTGCAATCTGTTTTGTACCCTTCCACATCACTCGTTCCCTCTACTACGCCTACCGTATTCTAGACGCAGATTGCAAGTCCCTTAATATCGTCAACTTTGCTTACAAAATCACTCGCCCTCTTGCCAGCATGAACAGCTGTTTGGACCCCATCCTCTACTTTCTTGCTGGGGATCTCTACCGCTCTAAACTTATAAGATGTTTCACTAGGCAGATTCCGAACACTCGTTCTACAGCGTATGTACATGAAAACAACATTGGAATGACCTTTAAGAACCCAGATGCCCAAGCCAACAATGAGTCGAGACTCTAGACCCACATACCCAGACATTTTGGTTGATAATTTAAAAAGCTCTTCTGAAAGACTGCCTCAAATTGTAGAATGTGTTCTGTCAAAATCCATGTCTGCTAAGTCACACGCATACCCAGAAGAATTCAGAACAGTCTCGTTGTAAACACTACAGCGTAGATAAAAGTGAAGGAGTCTCTTTGGAGAAAGGATGTGGTTTGCTTCCTTTGTGCACTCCTAATGTTTTCCCCATTCGGTATGATTGCTGGGAATGTAGTTCAGAGAAACTTCAGCTCAAAAAAGCACTGATGGCAAATCACTCCTATGGTTACTTGTAATGTTGAAGTTTCTCACTGTTGTTCAAGGACAGAACTTGGCAGTGGGGGATCTGTCAACACTGAAAACAAAACCCACACTTTATCCCAGAGATGGACTCTGGCCTTTGACTGTTAATACAGAAATGCCAGCACAAAGGCTTTTGTGTGTTCTGTTATGTCTGAAGGTCCTATGGTAGGAAATAAAGGTGCTGTTAAAATTTCATTTATTTGAATTAACCCGAGAGGTTGGAAGCCTTTTGTGGCACATTTAGTGAAAAGGTGAATGGTTGTGGTGGGGGAGGCTGAACGTCAAGCTGCAGTTGTGCAGATATCCCCACATGGCCTGCTTCATTCCTCGTACAGCTGTTTTTGTCCTTTGGTGGAGAAGATCTACAGCTGTGTTGTACATGTGTTTGTGTGTATTTGTGAGTAATTGCATAGCAGGGTTGAATGAAGAACAAAAAAAAAAGATGGAAGAAATCAGATCCGTTTTGGCGTATAGAGAGTACCACCCCCTCCCCGGATATAACCTCTGTGGGAATGTTTGTGAGTTTGTGCATTTGATTATTTCATGTTTAGTGTTGTAAATATTTTGTGAAATTTATCTGGTTACGGTATTTGTTTAATTTCAAATTGCATTTACATAATATGTTTTGTATTTACATTGAAGAGACTGAGTTTTCCTAGCATATTCCGTCCATTTTATATGCCCTCTGTCATACAAAAAACAAAACAAAACAATGACTAAACTAAAATGAATCAAAAGGAGAGTCTATACCACATTTTTGTGAAAAAAAAAACTTGTTTACAGAATACTTAAGTAGAAAAAAAAATCTATTTTATTTAGAACATGCTACAATATGTTGAAAAAGCTGTTCATTTATGTTGTGTTATGTGTGCTTTTTTATACAGCAAAACAGTTCCCACTTTAACTTTTTTTGTATTGAAATGAAAATTTCTTTTGTATTTATATCCAACCATATATATTCTTTACATTAGAAAATTGTGGATGCCATTTAAGGACACTGTGAAAAAAGTTATTGCTATAGTTATAATTACATATACTTGGGTCACCAGAGTTTTTTGGTTACTTTTCACTGTTGCCTTTGGCTTGCTCAGTTGGGGGTATTAAAATTAATTGATGGATATTTGGATATTTATTTTTCCACAAAAAAATGAACATTGTTATTATGTTTTGATTGATACTGTGGAGCTGCTTTGATGATATCTATATTGTGAAAAGCGCTAAACAATTATACTTGACTTGACTAACAATTAAAAAGGACATTGATGTAATTTTGATGTTGTAATCATTATTTAATCTTTTTTTCTTTTTTTTTCTTTTGATATTGTGAAGGAGAAGGGTTGGTCTTGGGGCGCTCAGGGAAAAGCTTCATTTTTTTCTTTTGGTCAGTAGAGGTCCCCAGAGTTGTTTTTAATTAGCGTGTGCATGGACTTCATATCCTTAAGATCTATGTCCAATGACTTTGACTATGATAAATAGACCTGTTGGCTGCTGCTTTTGCTATGGGGTTGTTGAGGTCATGAATAGTTTAAAATGCAAAGCACATAGAGAGTTATGGTCCTCCTTCTTGCACTACAATCCCTGAATATACAGAAATAAATGAAATCAAATAAAGCCAGAGCCAATGTACTTTGTACACAATACATGTATTGTAATGTATTGTCCTTCCAATAGTTATGGCTGATCTGGACTCTTTCTATCTTTGTCATGACGCAAATGAAAGTGGGTGGAGAATAGGTGTGTGTATTCTACACTACACACCATCACAGTAGGAAATAGGAAAATTGCCAAAAATAGTGACTGGCCTAAGTTTAATATTATGGGTTTCTGTTTAAAATGGGGGAAAATTCTAAACCATTGTAAATCGCTGAGAAAAATACAATTAAATCCAAAAACACAAGTGTGTGAGTGTTGGCAATTGCTAGTTTTGTTTTTAAACTGCTAAGGCTGTTTTTTGTGTAGTAAATATCTCTAAAGTGTAGTTATATGTTTAAGTGTAGTTATATGTTTCTGTTAAAGAGGATGGGTGGTATTCTAAGACTAATATTCATTTCTCAAGATAATATTCATATCTTCCCAATCCCTCCCCTCCCCTCCCCCTTCTCTGTCTCTATCCTCTCATTCTTTTGCAGGGCCCAAGGACATGGGGTTAGGAGCACTGCAATAATAAAATGCTCATAAAAGACATTGAACAATAAAACATATATAACTTCCAGTGAAGGATGATTTTTCCCCATCAGTTCTAGCAATAAGTAACCTTTATGTGTCTTATTTGTGTTGTGCAGAGGTGAAGCAGAGCTACATCTAAAGAGAATTGATCTGTGTCAGTGTCTGGTTTGTGTTTTCCTTGGTAACCACTAGAGGTCCTCATTCCCCACGGTGTCATTCACTCATACTACATTTCCCATAATCCTCTTCTGTTCGTCATTATTTATTGCACACAGCTGTTTCTCGTGACTTTGTTAGTGTCTGTGTACATTGCTGCGTCCCAATTGGCCATTTATACTACACCCTAAAAGTATAATCTTTTTGTGAAGAAAAATTACACACTTTTGAGTGTATATCAAAAGAGTAGACAAGCTTTGGGACATAGGCAACTTCTTCGTCATCTTTAGCGGACAGATCTGTCCCTTGCATCCTGTCATCGTAAACTGCTGTCAATCATCACGTCACAGTTAAAATCCTCCATTTAATTTGCAGGATTTTTACAGTAAAATATCCAAAAACTAAAAGGCCAATGTTATATATTTTGTTTAGTGTATTACTTGCAATATCCCGAATGTTTCTAACAAGGAAACGGGGCGTGTGAGGAGTCGCCAGTCAATGACGTTATATCCGCGTTACCGCAATAGTAACCATGGCGACAGACGTGTCGGTTTACGGTTATGCCCGTTATATGTGCTCAACAGCGTGTGCGTCCCTAGCAGGGTTTTGTTCAAACATTATGGACCATGGCAAGCAGACTTTGAGACAAAAAGAGGACTAAAACGAAGATCAACAGCTTTCGAGATGCCAACGCTTCACGTCCGTGACTAACTTCGACTTAACAGAGACGCGAGTGTTGCATGTTACTTGAGCAAACAGGTGAGCAAATCAATATAAGACTAATCAATGTTGTATAGTTCGATGAAAAGTTACAATATGATCTGTATGTTATTCTCTAATGTTAATCTAGCATAGTCTTATGCAGCCAATAAACAACAACATTCAACACACACAAATGCCGTTTAGTGTGATAGTGAAACTGTTACACACCGTGTAGCTAACAGTTTTAGAAAAAAATTAGTTCGGGTTATTACTGCGACGTCGCGGCTGACAGAATGATGAAATTACACTGGTTATGAGTACACATATTTATTTTTAGTTAAAGTCCCCGTGAACCGGAAGTCGCAAACGATTTTTCTCCAGTGCTACGTATTTCCAAGTGAAACGGAATATTGAATAGAGGGCAGGGTTTTACTCTAGCGCTTCCCCTCTCCATCTCTCGCTCACAGTAGTTCACACTACATGATTTTAAAATGTCGGGCTGAACTGTGCAGTTCACACTAAATGACTTGCTCTCAGTGAAATCATGAATGTTCAAGTTGTTTAGCTGTTCACACCACACAACACAACGTGATTGATCCACAACAGGACGTAACTCACTACACGAGTTAACAACGCACTACACAGAGATACAACCACGATAGGATGATAAGAGCATATCATTTGTGACTCAATGAGAGCTGTTTCAGTACTATAGTACGGTCTAAATCCTGAAAATAATCAAACAAATAACGAGTTGACAACAACACGATTCTATCTGGTCTAGAAACCATGTTTTGTCACGAAAAACCACGCAATAAAACGAACCAGAAATGACGCGAAACTGCAGAGAAGAACACAACACGCGAATATGGACGTCAGACAGAAACTAGTGCTGCACACTATTTGCTCGACGATCTGCTCTGAGAAAAAAAAATGCAAAAAAGAAAAAGTAAGATTTACCTGGTGTCCTCAACCCATGCGTTGCTATGATTGGCTGTACTCATGACATCACTGAGATTGAGTCGCGCGACTGCTCGAGATATCTAGCATGCTAGATATTTTTCAGAGCTCGGTGACCTGTCTGCGAGCTGTCTGCGAGCTGTCTTTGATGCGTTGTTGGCTCTTTCACACTATTGGATTGGCGAGCGTTAATCGTCCGCTAATCGCCCGCGATTTGCACGCGATAACACCCTGACTTGTCGGCGACTCAACGATTTGCAAATCGGGCTTAAATCGGGCTTAAAATCACGTAGTGTGAACTAGGCTTAAACTATACGGTTTGAGGGGAGTGGTTAAGCGTTTCCCCACCCAAACTGTGAAACCGACGTCATCAGAAAAAGAAACCGTTCCAGACCGGAAGTAACTTTTCAGATTTTGATTAAAGATTACCAAGGTAAAACATTGTTTTAATATATTTTTACTTGCACGGATTAATTGTTCACCACAAGACTAGTAATATGCGCTAACAAAGTAAATGGGTTGAATTTTGATTTCACGGGGACTTTAAAAATTGGTCACTGTCCCACAAGATAACGAATAATCTACCTCAGATTTTGAAAGCATAGCGTTCACTTCAAAATGAATTCTATGCAAACATACAACTTCATAACAAAATTAGTCAATGAGTATATTTTGTTAATGTTTTGATTTTTAATAATGTTATATCTTGATTTGATTATGTCCTTACCCATTTCCAATGCGAGTGCGGACCAGCAGTGCGCTTTCACGCTGTTCTGAAAGATTGTGATTTTTGATCAGCGTGTGGCGTCTCACAGTCGCGTCGCGTCGGCGTTTCACAATCGTAAATAGTATTCGAAAGTGGAATTAGTATGTCTCAAATCGTAGTACTGTTGAAATGAGTGTTCCAAAGAGACCCGGATGGTCTACTATATCCGGTCAGAATCCAAAGTGCAGATCAATGCACACTCTAACCAACTGCTTCTATTGCCCACAACCCATCGCGTGTTGGACGAGGAACTACGACGGGAGAGGGAGACAGCAGGGGCGAGGACTGTCATCTGGTGAGTCAGAGCCTTCGATAACGCTGTTTGATGAGGACACGGTGTAATAAGTCTAACAGTTGCGCCCTGCTTCATTCTACAGTCATGTTAAAAACATGATGTATTCACTCATCCATAAAAGATCCATCAGCTTGAAAGATCCATAATTTCGCTTAATGCGGAATATATGTCATTAATATACGCCTTTGTTATTGCAAGAGGTTAGCGAACCCTGGTGGCGAAACAATCTTGCATATTGTACCTTTAATATAATTTGTTACCATTTCGGAGAGACATGTTGTAGCACGTTCATCTGCCAGTCGTGGGTCTTTCATGCGGAGATTCTCATGTGTTTGCAATGATTCATTTAAAAGTTAATGGCTAAATGTATCATTACAAAAGTTCAATGTGCCTCAGATGCAATATAATGTAACCAACATTGAATAAATACATTTTCATCAGGTTAGATACTGATAATTAATCACTAAAACAAACCCCTTTATCTAAACCTCTCTGCCGGACTCGCACGTCCTCCATGTTTGTGTTAACACTTCTCACTCGTGTTTGTAGTTCTAACCGAATCCTCGTCCAACACGCGATGGGTTGTGGGCAATACGAGCCGTTGATTAGAGTGTGCATTGATCTGCACTTTGGATTCTGACCGGATATAGTAGACCATCCGGGTCTCTTTGGAACACTCATTTCAACAGTACTACGATTTGAGACGTACTAATTCTATTTTCGAATACTATTTAGGTCAGTTGTGCAAGTTGGGACGCAGCACCTGTCTGTTTCAGTGTTTGTCAGTTTGTTCAGTCCTTGTTTTATGTCACCACACTTCTGATGTCTGTATCTGCCCGGTTCTGATTTGTTTTTTGGGTTTTTTTGTGTTTTGAATGGCCTTGTTGGATTTTTAACCTTTGGCTGGACTGGTTGTACCCAAATAAATAACTGCACTTGGATCTGTTATTTCCCGTGTGTGTGTGTGTGCATCGTGACAGAAGGACTCCGTCACAAAGAACGAATCCAGCAGAATGGGTTCCCGTATCCGTATCCCCACTACGAAGGGAGAGAGAGACAGCAGGGGCGAGGACCGTCAATCTGGTGAGTCAGAGCCTTGGATAACGCTGTTTGATTGCTTCGCACTCTGGGCTTGGGGGAGTGACGAGACCACGGTGGTCGGCTCCATTGAACTCTCTTCCGTCGGCACAGCAGATGCCTGGTCAGCCAACACCTTTGCCCTT